TTAATGAGATATGTTAATATCAATGGCATTGTCTTCCCTATTGTTTTATAGGGACATGTCATTGTGGTAACCTCCCTTTGTTGTTATTTTGTTTCTGCTTGAATTTAAGGGCGAGCAGTGGTAGTGTACTCAACTGCCAACCCAAAAGTCTCGAGTTCGAATCTGAATCCCGACTGGAGTCTGCAGGACGTGCCTGGTCGACCTCTCTGGTGGGTACCTTGCTCACGTTAGGAAAATACAGGCGGTTGGGAAAAGTGCTAACCACACCGCCCCCTCACATGCCGAGGTCAAGACACATAGAATCTACTTCATCTACCCTCTACATGGTTAGGTCTGAAATATTAGCTAACTATACTTTTAAAAATCTTATAAATTAACAGACTTTCTTGTATTAAAAAAATAATCTTCCTGTAATGCAATAATCGAGCAACACATCCATCTTTACAATACAATTATCGTAATTACCCGAGTAATTCTTGTTCATACAATAATGTCCACAAAGAATAAAAGTAGTTAGATTATGAGGCAATCAACACGAAGGAACAAACAGCTAGACAAACCTAAACTATGACTGTATTTGACTTGATTTGCCGCCGTACGACTGAGATGCGGACAGTGAAGAAGCGAGACAAACCTAAACATGTGTACAGCCAAGAAGCGAGACAAACCTAAACTATGTCTGTGTTGGACTTGGTTTGCCGTCGTACGATTGAGATGCGGACAAACCTAAACATGCGGACAGCCAAGAAGCGAGACAAACCTAAACTATGTCTGTGTTGGACTTGGTTTGCCGCCGTACGATTGAGATGCGTACAACCAAGAAGCGAGACAAACCTAAACTATGTCTGCGTTCGACTTGATTTACCCGCCGTATACCAACAAGGTACTAAAAGATTATGACGACCACATGACAGGCCTAGAGATTAGGTTTCCTGAGATCGATCCAAACTTCCAGAGCAGTCTGGCCTGTCTTACGATTTAGGACATCATCTGTGGGGGTGGGGGTGGGGGGGGGGGGGGGGTGGGGTGTGTGTGTGGTGGGGGTAGGGTGTGTGTGTGGTGGGGGGTAGGGTGTGTGTGTATGGAGAGAGGTCAGTCAGTGGCCAGCGTTGTTAGTCAGTTGTTGAGCGTCGCAGAGATCAGTAGTTCGTATGTCCGTAATCAGCGCTAAATCTTGACATGACCATATTTTATATTGCCCAGACGCAATCGTCAGTATTTTATCTTGACCAGTCTCAGTCTTCAGGAATTTATGTTGACCCCCCTCTCATCCCCACTGACTTAATCTTGACTCGACTTGTGCCAGTAACTAACCCAGACCTAATTAATGAACTATCATATCAACAACAACATGAATCTAAATACGAACGATTTCTTAACCAACGGTCTTGACCCTCTGACACTACTACACCAAATACTCTACATTTGTAACCTCTCTTCTCGAATACCATCATCTAATATGTCATCACCCCTTACGTCGGGTTTCATGAAAACACAAAGCGAAGCAAACATTAAGCACATTAGTCCATTCGAAGCTTAGATAATCTCCAACACCGAGGCGCTAGGGTGTCAGGCTAAAAATAGACGAGTTTACGTCACATGACTCCACTAATGGTAAAACTCGGGTTGTAAAAAAAGTGTCAAGTTTCTACTCGCGGTCTATTAACAAGTTTCGTCTAACGACGTAACTTGTTGGGTCGAGGTTGTCCCCTCTTGTCGAGCTGACCAATCAATATCTACCAGCACAAAAATGAGGTCAGTATTAGCGTCCATTCTTTTTTGCAATATTTTTTCTCACAAATTTAACGAAACCATAAATGAAATTATAACTATAATTCATATTAATTTTATTTAGTAACAACGTATATATTAGTCTTAAACAAAATCAATTTAAAAATAAAACACTATGACCATATTGAATGACAAAATTAATTTTGAAGCACACTTTAATTTAAAGCTGAAGTCGGAGAACCACATACCCCCTTCCTCATCCACCCCAAATAACGTCGGGTCTGAGGGTACGGTCAGAGGCGTAGCGAAGGGGGGTGGGGGGCGGGGGGTGCGGACCGCACCGGGTGATACCATTTAGGGGGGTGACACCAAGGCAAAAAATAGCAAAATATATAGAGAAAAACTTGAGAGGGGGGGGTGCAAATCGAAAATTTGAAGGGGGTGCAAATCGAATATTTGAAAGTTTGTCCCCGGGAAAGGTCGCTACGCCTCTGGGGGGGGGGGGGGTGACACCATTAAGTGCCGCACCGGGTGACACCCGACCTCGCTACGCCACTGGGTACGGTACTGCGGCATACCGCTAATGTAGCTGATGGACTCCATATTCTAGGTTTTCAATTTAACTGTATCAAGAAAAAACGCCATCGGTTTTCGGCTTTTTTTTTTAACATACATGTTCCATCATGAACGCTTAAACCACGGGTACGCCTATGCCACGGATATCTACGCCGCTGGTTTGTCAAGTAAAATATGTTGTCCCCCCTAGGTAAATCGGTGTCTGACTGAGATAAAATGTACAGGGGGGGGGGGGGGGTTAAGCTGATGACGTCTGATACAGGCTTTAAACATTTGAGGGGAGGGGGGGGGGGGGGTTGGACACAAGGAATACCTGTTTAAGATGAGAAAAAAATAATAGGGAAAATAGAAGAAAAAAAACTAGGACAAGAACTTGATTTATTTTGTTAAAACGATCGATTTTTATTTTGTTTTACGGCTTTTTTTTCCCCCTCACAAGAAGAAAACTACAAACTGATTGGTTTGAAAGAGAAGGAGAAGAAGAAAAAAAAAAAAAAACAACGAGCCAGGAAGCCGAGGATCAGAAAATGCTGAATTTGCATTATTTTTCTTTAATCTCTTAAGTCTGGGAATCCTCTGTCTCTAAAAAAATAACACAATACGGAATGATAGAATCAAACCTGACTGCCATCAGTTCCAGATTTTTTTCCCCCTCCCAGGCTTTCCTGTCTGACACGCAAGAAATGGCTTTCTGCCCCCCCCCCCCCTTCCCCCCACGCCAAATATCAGCGGCCAGACCAGGTTGGGGATCATCGCGTGACGGCCCCAGGTTTCCTGTCAGGGATTGTCTCGATGTGAGGGGACATGTCCTACAGGACAAAAGGACTTGGTGATTGTCTTTAGCGCCAGTCTCGATGTTAGGGGACATGGTCCTACAGGACAATAGGACATAGTCAGCGATTGTCATTAGTGTCAGTCTAAATGAGAATATTGTTAGTGGACATGTCCTGCAGGACAAAAGGACCTAGCTAGGAATTGTTTTTAGAGTCTGTCTCATGATAAAGATTGTTAATGTTAGGGTATGGAGTAGGGAGGGGTGGATATGTACTATAATGACCAAGAGTACTATGTGATAGGAAAACATGACCAAGTATTCCTCTAAAAGGGACTGTTCTTACACAAAGGATAGATAAAACAATACAAGGAGAGGTAATGTAGGAAAGGAATGTACTGAGACAAGTTAGCTTTCCCAAGGCTGGTTACCAGAGAATATAGTACATATAGTCAACAACAGGCCAAGTGGAATGATAAAAGAAAAAACGATTCAATAAAACACAAACTTTCCATTCACTACACCCCATACTTTAATGCTGTGTTTATCAATACTTAAACATCAGTTCAATAAATCACAAACTTTCCATTCACTACACCCCATACCTTACTGCTGTGTTTATCAATACTTAAACATCAGTTCAATAAATCACAAACTTTCCATTCACTACACCCCATACCTTACTGCTGTGTTTATCAATACTTAAACATCAGTTCAATAAATCACAAACTTTCCATTCACTACACCCCATACTTTAATGCTGTGTTTATCAATACTTAAACATCAGTTCAATAAATCACAAACTTTCCATTCACTACACCCCATACCTTACTGCTGTGTTTATCAATACTTAAACATCAGTTCAATAAATCACAAACTTTCCATTCACTACACCCCATACCTTACTGCTGTGTTTATCAATACTTAAACATCAGTTCAATAAATCACAAACTTTCCATTCACTACACCCCATACTTTAATGCTGTGTTTATCAATACTTAAACATCAGTTCAATAAATCACAAACTTTCCATTCACTACACCCCATACCTTACTGCTGTGTTTAATCTATCAATACTTAAATTAAAATAGTGCATGCTTTACCCTCTGTTACATATTAGCATCAGACAGGACACAACCATAAAGTATTTATGTGCTCTGTAAGTATTGAATAGAACTTTCTGTATTTTTGGCTCATACAAGATTCACATACTCTTATTTAGAAAAGATGCTGTTATATCTATACATATTTTAAGGTGTGTATAATGGAATCACATGTAAAACTTAGGAGCTCTAAAATCTATTACACGTAAATAAAATATTACAAATATTATCTTCCTTTGTATTTGAATACAAAACTAAAAAAAAAACCCAGTAAACATGACTAGTAGTGTATAAAAAATGTATTTTAGTTAGCTCCTTATATTTGTTGTAAACACAATACCGTGGCAACAATTGTCTTTAGATGATCTATGATGTGTTGAAAAGATAAAGGTAATGAAAATAATGGGGTTACAGTTTAGGATATGTTTTACATTAGGCACTTACCTTTTGTAGACAGAAACAGAGACAGGTGACAAAGACAATAAATTAACTATTTATATCTGACAGAAGAAAGTTTCTACCTGGCAGAGGCAGTAAATTACCTATGAATAGCTGACAGAAAGCATCAAGTTACCTACATATAGCTGATAAAAGAATAAGTGACCTAAGTATAGCTGACAGAAGACAGTGAGTGACCTGTGTATAGCTGACAGTGAGTGACCTATGTATAGCTGACAGAAGACAGTGAGTGACTTAAGTATAGCTGACAGAAGACAATGAGTGACCTATGTATAGCTGACAGAAGACAGAGAGTGACCTATGTATAGCTGACAGAAGACAGTGAGTGACCTATGTATATCTGACAGTGGGTTACCTACCTTTAAGTAGTAGACCAACAGTTCATTCAGGGATGGATCTGCGTTCAGGTTGACCAGGAACGGCCGGCCATGTTCGACCTTGATACCTGACGTCACTACTGACACGCCCATTTGTTCTAGAGTTTTCTGACGGGCCTGGAATTATCAACAAAATTAACAAATAATTAGTCCAGCAATTTTATACACAAGGGGCATAACTATGCGAATGTGTTTTTCAAGAAATACATTTTCTTTGTTGCTTCCCTTTATTCAAAAGGGCTAGTTATAGACATAATGTAAAAAAATTGTATTTTTTCTGGAAAAGCACTTACCTGATGAATTCTTTCAGTTTCCTGCAATTTTTCTTCCCAAGTTTTAGACATTTCCTTCATAAGTTTTTCTGACTCAGTCAGTCTTTCAGCCAAATCTGGAGCTTTCATGCTCTGGAGAGGTAAAAAGTATACTACATAAATACTACATGAAATAAATTTGCTCAAAAAATAAAATCCAATTAATTCCTTTTTACATATTTCTCTATACTGTAATTACTTTTGTAATAAAAGGCTAAAGAATGAACAACTTTTTTAGGTTTGACAGTATTTTATCAATATGATTTAGATTTATTTTTGAGCAAGTATTATAATATGTGATGGTAAAAATGTATATTCTTTTAAGAACCTACAAATACAAACTGATAAATATTTAGGAAAATGTAAACAAAACAAAATGCAGATAAAACATAAACAAATAACAAAACAATACAAACTAAACATTTAATTATATATTTAAAATATACTAGACAATAAAGGAGTTTACAAAAAAACCCACAAAATAAATAAATAAATAAATAAATACAAAATAATACAGGAACTAAAGAAAAAAAATGAGATATGAAATAATAAAATAAAAAATATAAATACACAATAAAATATGAATGAGACAAAAACAAAACGAGACAAAAAAACAGGTGTAAAAACTAAAGAGCTGTGCTGGTTCAACTTACACTGAGGCCTGTACTTCGCCTCACCTGAGCCTCGTTCAGCTGGGCCTTCAACATCTCAACCTCCTCCCTCAACTCTCTGATGATCCTGGCGTTGGGGTCTTCATTGACCACGGCGTGGTTGATGATGCGCTTGGCTCGGTCGGCGTAGCGCAGGGTGGACAGGGTTTCCTCGTAGTTGTCAGCGGCAGGGCTGATGGTGGCAACCATCACAGTTTTACTGTTGCCACCGAGGTTGTCCTGGTTACGTAAACAATAGGTCAACATTTTAGTAAACTTAACAGCGATTTAAAAGTAAGTCATAATTTTAGGTGTCATGGTAACCAACATAATAGGTCAACATTTTGCTAATTTGAGAAGGAAAGAAAATTGGGAGAGAAGGAAAGAAAGCGTTTTAAAAGTCATAATTTTAGGTTGTCATGGTAATGTACAGAATAAATTAACAATTTGGTTAAACTTAACAACAATGTAACTTATGTCTTTTTTTCAGATTGTCATGGTAATGTATAAAATAAGTCAACATTTTGGTAAATGTAGCTTCTGTCAAAATGTCCTTTAGGTTGTCCTGGTAATGCAAGGGGTGGATCAATATTTTGGAAAACTTACACTGATGCAACAAATGTCATACTGTTGCCAATATATCATTGTCATGATAATGTAACGAGCAGGACAACATTCTCTTAAACTTTCAAACATATGTAACAAATGTTAGTACTAAAATACAACACTCATTTACCCAACACCAACTGACATTAGGGCCAATTAGCTAACAACTTAAATGCTTAGAAATTTCAATACTACAACTGCATATACAATATTCTACTAAATATGATTTAATGTTTTAAAAACAAATTAGAATTCCAACTCCTGGTGGTACAAGCCAGGTGATAGTGCACCTCCATGTAAAGGTGAGCAGAGACTACTGACCTTCAAGAGCCAGGTAAGCACTGAGTCCCTGTAGGGCACAAACTTGTTCTTGTTCTTGCCCCCACCAGACTGGTCAGCTAGAGCAGAGATGACCAGGCCGAGTGTGGTCAGTGATCTGAGGGTAGACATCACGGAAATCAATTGTGATAAACATATTGTTTGTTTTAAAATCTTTGAGTGATAAGCTAAGATATCTAGGGTATATTAGTAAACAAGAACTCATATTTATAACGTTTTAACTTATTTTGTGTATATAATATGGAAATGGTACATCTAATAAAATACTTAAAAAAAAACTTTTTAAAAAACCATGTTTTTCTTGTGGACTAAAAAGTAGAAAATAAATTTTTCTTTTGTGCTTCCTCGAGCTGTGCAGGTTCTTGTGATGACTGACAAAAAACGTGGGTACGTTCACCATCAAATTTCCCGACCCATCTGCCCGACATCGATTGGGGCCGAAGTAACTGTGTCAATAGGCCTCCAGTCTTGTCGATATGTTTAGAAATCATGTCCTCGATTTTATGGTCCTTGGGGCGTAATTTAATTAAGCTAATTTAGGTCTCTAATTGCTAGTTTTTATGATTGCATCTGAAATTATTAGGCGAAAATAGCCTGCATTCCAAATTTCAGATCTCTAGAGCAATCAGAAGTGGGCTAATTTTCGATGTCAATTTTAACAACAAACATCCAAACAAACAAACAAATAAACGCGAAGCTGAGTTAAGAAAAACGTGTTAAAAAAAAATTGATTTTTGCTGTTCAGAAATCTTTACAAGCGCAATAACAGCAGAAGAACACAGGTTGATAACAGATGACCAGCTGATAACTGGTAGATGACCAAGAGATGACCACCAGAAAACTATCAGATGACAAACTGATGACCAGCTAATAACTAGCAGAAGACCATCAGATGACCAGTAGAAGACCAACAGAAGACCATCAGATGACCAAGAGATGACCAGCTAATAACTAGCAGAAGACCATCAGATGACCAGTAGAAGACCAACAGAAGACCATCAGATGACCAAGAGATGACCAGCTAATAACTAGCAGATGACCATCGGATGACCAGGTAATAACTAGCAGAAGACCATCAGATGACCAGTAGAAGACCAACAGAAGACCATCAGATGACGAAGAGATGACCAGCTAATAACTAGCAGAAGACCATCAGATGACCAGTAGAAGACCAACAGAAGACCATCAGATGACGAAGAGATGACCAGCTAATAACTAGCAGAAGACCATCAGATGACCAGTAGAAGACCAACAGAAGACCATCAGATGACGAAGAGATGACCAGCTAATAACTAGCAGAAGACCATCAGATGACCAGTAGAAGACCAACAGAAGACCATCAGATGAGGAAGAGATGACCAGCTAATAACTAGCAGAAGACCATCAGATGACCAGTAGAAGACCAACAGAAGACCATCAGATGACGAAGAGATGACCAGCTAATAACTAGCAGAAGACCATCAGATGACCAGTCGAAGACCAACAGAAGACCATCAGATGACGAAGAGAAGACCAGCTAATAACTAGCAGAAGACCATCAGATGACCAGTAGAAGACCAACAGAAGACCATCAGATGACGAAGAGATGACCAGCTAATAACTAGCAGAAGACCATCAGATGACCAGTAGAAGACCAACAGAAGACCATCAGATGACGAAGAGATGACCAGCTAATAACTAGCAGAAGACCATCAGATGACCAGTAGAAGACCAACAGAAGACCATCAGATGACGAAGAGATGACCAGCTAATAACTAGCAGAAGACCATCAGATGACCAGTAGAAGACCAACAGAAGACCATCAGATGACCAAGAGATGACCAGCTAATAACTAGCAGATGATCAAGAGATGACCAGCTAATAATTAGCAGATGACCAAGAGATGACCACCCCAGAAAACCACCCAAAGAAAACCACAAGATGAGAAAAATAAAAAATACTCACTTGTTGATGTTGCTTCCTTCCTTCAGTCTCTCCCCCATGGCCCCTGTCTTCTGTGCACGCTCACTCCCTGCCAGGTCAACCAGGGACAGTTTGCTCACCTTCTCACCAGACACCTGCAAGCAGTAACACAAGAACATGTACACCATAGGTTAACACAGGAACATGTACACCATAGGTAAACACAGGAACATGTACACCATAGGTTAACACAGGAACATGTAGACTATAGGTAAACAAAGGAACATGTAGACTCACTCTACACCATAGGTAAACATAACATCATATAGACACTCAACCACAATAGGTAAACATAAGGTGATATAGACTCATTCAACACCATAGGTAACCACAACAACATATAGACTCACTCTACACCATAGGTCCACAACAACATATAAACTCACCCTACACCATAGGTAAACACAAGGTAAAGTGACTCACTCTACACCATAGGTAAACACAAGGTAAAGTGACTCACTCTACACCATAGGTAAACACAAGTACATATAGACTCACTTTACACAATAAGTAAATATTGTTACTGTTAGCACATACAAGGTTGATACCAGACATTGTCTAAACGTTGTGTTGTGAGAAGTTGTATATAAATAAAGTGACTGGATTAGAGTACAAATAAAATGTTATACACAAACTTAATAACTAGTTGATACAGGTTACCACCAATGTGGTCTATCATTGTTCATTGATTTTTTTGGTCAGAGGCATTCAATGATTTTATTATATTTATTTTTGCAGACACCTTACTTAAAAAAATTAAGTTCTGAATGAAGCTATGTAAGGACCATAAAAAGTATACACTGATAAAAAACTGAATACTATTCTATATAAAAAAATATTTAGGCCTATACACTACTACCATTATTAACATTGAATGTATGCAAACATGATTCTTTTAAGTTGGAATTTTAAATAAACATAAACAAATAAATGAAACCGAATACAGAGGATTATTCTACACGACCCAGAGATGTATGCAGTATTATTTCATAGGCTAACACATTTAGGCACATTGAAATGTTAAAAGTTTTACAATAAATAAATATTAGTTACTTCCCATTTATTCATTTCAAATACCAAAGGGAAACAATCTGTAACTATGTTATCAAAAATCATAAAAATTAGGCCTACATTCAAAATGTACAACTAGGGATCATTGCATATTTTTAACTAAACATGAATATTTCATACCTTATGAGTGTTTGTCTATTCTATATTTTTTTTATAAACGTTATAATTATAATTTGGCTCTAGTTTAAATTGAAAACAGTTAGCCATATTAACTGTTGATTTGATAGTCAGGTGAGGGTTTAGCCAAGGGCCTAGATCAGGGGTCTCCAAACTACAGCCCGCGAGGTCCTCTCATCCGGCCCGCGGAGATCTTTTTGTCCACGGAAAAAAACGTTTGTTGCAGTTGGCTGAGGAACTTGCTCAGAAAGTCACGACATGCCTGGAAAATATTGGCCCCCGAACTGAAATTTCATAGTTAATGCGGCCCTCGGACTGAAAAGTTTGGAGACCCCTGGCCTAGATGATAGTTACACCATTTTGGTTCATTTTAAATATATCTATTTTAATCTCGGTTAAAACATTACACAATTCAGTACAAGAGGAACTAAAAACATACAGTTTATACATCTAGTTATCTGAATTTCTAGCAAACTCTTCCCAACTTTTTGGTAACATCATTTGTCTTCTTTCATTATTAGTACTCTGTGTAAAAGCCTTTTTATCAAAGTTATAACCTACATTTCTTTTTGCTAACAATATTTGACTTTTTTTGTGACACGAATTTGATGTTATTAAATGTAGTGCAGAGACAGTCCGATGGTAAATCACTGAGGTAAAGTACTAGATGATAGATGAAACATCTGATCAAAACACACACAAACATGATGCATATTCATAGACCTATAGTAGAATAAAACAGAGTCTAGCCCCATCTAGTATAAAGACACCATCCTATGGTGAAAGACAGCTGCTGTCTATGTGAGAAGATGATCCATGACATGTACTGGATATGGTTTCACCTTCCCTAGTTAGGCCATCCATCATATTGACAGCAGCAATAATAGACCTGTGACTCAGGTCAACCCAACTCTAATGCACATTTAAAACCTTTACAAGTGAGCCAGTCATCCTCCGCTATATATATCATAGGGTCACAAGTCATATGACTAATGATGTAACTGGTGTAACAAAAGATTAGCTGTCATGAAAGACTGTCCTATTGGTGTTAGAAACTGTCTTATTGTTGTCAAAAAAAACTAGTTGTAATAAAAAAAAAGTCTAACTGTAATTGGTAAAAAAAGAATACCTCAGTTATTGATATTAGTAGAGACTGCCTCATGTGTAAGTAAAACAAAAACCTTTTAGTTTTTAAGAAAATGGAACACTAAGGTCTAATACCACAATTTTAGGTTATTTTAAATACTAGTTTAACCTAACCCTAGCTAAAATGTTGTGTAAAGATTACAATTAATGAGAGTACAAGCCAGTACTTAGATTAAACTAATGAAGAAAGATAAAAAAATAGGGGAGTACACAGAAAATACAAACAGCCAATCGGAGCGCTTGTAACAAACACCAATGTCTGCCCCTGACAATGGACCTGTCATACATCACTGTGTGACACGTGTGCTGATGAATTATGGGACAGACCCATCCTGTGGGCTATAGAACACTCTAGATATCCAGTCCACCTTTTGGTTAGTAGATCACGTCCACATGACAAGTTTGCAAACTTTGGAATAACTGCAACAAACTAGAAAAACTAAGTAGATGCTAAACTTATCAAGTACACACCAATCTTCACATGATCTAAAAACTTTGGACACAACCACTCTGCTTCACCTGCTGGTACAGTGATCAATGTTTATATAACTATTGCTTGAAACCAGACCAGTAAAGGACTCTAGTTTAAAGCTGTGCAAGCGGACAACAATTTGTGTATAAACCAAACTCAGCTGATCACCAACTTGAATGGAAGAGCTAGCAGGATGGAAGAGATTCTTGACAGTTTTCCTGGCAACTTGTCTCACAGTGTCTCACTGTCAGAATGGTACACAGTCTCAAGCAGGTACAACCACAGGTAAGTGTCAGGGAGGGTTTTATAATGTCAATAGGTTAAGGTCATCTGACCATTGTCATCTGGCCAGTGGGATCAGACCATTGTCATCTGGTTAGTGTCATCTCACCATTGTCATCTGGTTAGTGTCATCTGACCATTGACATCTGGTTAGTGTCATCAGACCATTGTGATCTGGTTAGTGTCATCAGACCAATGCCATATGGCTGTTGTCATCAGGCCAATGTCAACATGTTGATGTCATAAGGTCAACAGCTGAATGTCAATAACTACTGTCATTGAGGTTATATATAACCAGAGTTGCGGATATTTAAATTCTCACACTTTCTTATATTGGTATAATTCAGGAATCATCAGGTACCCCAGGCCTATTGTTTTAGAATAAATGAATATGTAGCTCTGTCATGTATATGTCAGTATTACAATGAATGTTAAATCTATTACTATTGTTATACCAACAGAGAATGCAATTCTATTATTTTTTTTTAAAATAATTTTAATACTAACGTTTTTTTAAACCAGATTATGATTCAAACTATTTATTTAAATGGATATTTAATACTTAACAAATGTTATTTTAGGACATGCATTAATAAAGTATCTGCTGAAAACGAACTGAATATTTATCTTATATTTCAGTGGACCCCAGGCTTAGCCAGCTAGGGAAGGACTACGACTACATAGACACAGGGGTGTCTGCGGCTGCTGGGGGGAGGAAGAGAACTGGAGCAGGGGAGGGAACTAAGCTCAGTGAGACATCACTAGGTTCTCTCCCTGCCAGTGCTCCAGCTATACGCAAACAGCTTTCTGGTGATCAATACGACTGGTTACTGGATCAAATCCAACGGATACGCCGCTTTGGAACTGTGGATCAGCTGGATAAACTACAATCACAGTTCCCAAATTTTAACGTAACAGAGTTGTATAGTTCTAACATTGGATATGCTGAGGAAATGGATGAGTATGGATATTATGGTAATGGTACTCAGTACGGGGAGCGGGATGTGGAGGATGGGTACTTCCATAATGGGACATGGTATCCGGGAGCCAGGGAGGAAGATGAGGGATATTTTGTCAACGGTACCTGGTACCAGCCCCCGGGAGAAATGGAGGATGGGTACGTGTTCAACGGGACGTGGTACCCTAACCAGGACGAGCTAGAGGACGGGTATATGGTGAACGGGACGTGGTACCCGGGTCAGGAGGAGATGGAGGAGGGTTACAATTATAACAATGGTTCCCTGGGTCAGGAGGAGGAGAGGGAAGGGGAGGAGGAGGGTGAACATACCGATTTAATGTGGTGGCAGCTCCATTACCCACGGTGGAGTGAAACTGGAGCGAACGATGTCAACCACCAAAAATCTGAGGAGACGTCATCGCAAGGGAAAGGTGAAGGTCACGCTGTGATCCCGCCCTTCGTCCCTGTTCCGGGTCAGCGACCCCTACCACCGGGTCAACGACCTCTACCACCGGGTCAACGACCGCCGTATCAACAACATCCGCCACGACCACTTCAGCCCCGCCCTCACGTCGAGTCACTACCACAGAGACTGCCGATGGTGCAGCACCAGCGACCACCACCACCACGACCATACCCTCAGTACAGGAAACCCGGCACCACCAACCAGCACCCTCCCCAACACAGGGGACACGTAGAACACAGACCACAACAAGCGGGCATGACGGGAAACAAACCACAACCACCACCACACACACCCGTGGCAGATAACGCACCACTAACCGGAAACAACCCAGATTCAACCATCATCAAGAAAAAGACAAACCCGTTAGAGGGTTACGGCACGTCATCTACCATGACATGGGGCATCGTCATCGCCTGTCTGATAGGCTTCACCTTCATCCTGGCACCTATTGTCTGCGTGCTCTACAAATACAGGCAGGAGAAGCGGGTCAAGAAACGGACGTTCCTCAAGCGTCAGGAACACGGGTCGGTGGATGACGGCATCATGGACGCCATGATCATGACCGACCTGGGGGAGAAGAGCGACTCCAGGATCAAGAAGATAGGCTGGGGCGGGGCCAGGTCAAAGCGACCTGAGAAGTCGCGAGAATCCAGCCGGAAGTCGTCATTGCTCTCTCTGTTCCGTGCTAGGTCGGAGCTACAGCTTGCCTCCACCTCACAGACAATGGTGGAGCTAGGCGACGGCCCTGAGATACTCATCGTCTAGAACTAGCTCTCACATTCGCTTTCTTCATGTTCGCAGTTTACCTACGTATATTGTTTTTACACGTGCAGAAAACACGCATGTTTCAAGAAATGTCAATATCCGCTTTCCATGTAGTTTATACGTGCCTAATATTTAAATATGCGTGTTTTTGCCTTCAACTTGCACACATCTAACAACGTTGTGATCATGTATTATAGAATGATGTTAAATTATATAAGTAAATAAACTGTTTAAATTTGTATTTAAAGAGATTCGTGTTTTGCTATATCCCACTTACAGATTCGTCATGTCTTGTTAGAAGATTGTTCAGCAAATGCTATGTTGTAATAAAATGACATTTGATTTACAAATAATTAGTTGAACATAAATATGGCAATGTTTCATAGAACATCATACCTAGCAGCAAGGCAGTTTTTACGCAATGACCACAAGCGAACAGAGGTTTACCATGTATTTGTATCCTCCCCTACTAGGTCATAAAAAGTACTGTGGTACAACGTAGACCTGGTTCATTGCATTTAACGATATTATTCTAAACCTTCAGCTTCACATTTCAGGCAGTAAAAGAACAACATTTTAACGACGCACAACTTTGTGTGTGTGTGCTTTTATAAAAATGAATTAATTTGAACGAAATGGATTCCATAATTTATCTGATGATACTTTATTACGGTTACAATAAAAAAAAAAAGCAATGATAAAAAAATGATACTAGAACACAGCGCTATCAATTGGGCGTAGGCCTATGTGGAGTAAAACAGTATGTCAGGACAGAATAAAAGGAAATAAATAATAGAAGCCATGTTTGTTATTAGCATGTGCTGACGTCATCATTCATATCAAAATGTAACGATTACATACAAAAACTAACAAGGCAGTACACTATGCATTCAACCTTTTTTGACTAGTGAATGCGTCGAGTCATGGTACTAGTTCAACGGTTTCCGTATTTTAAAATATTTTTTAAAATAATAATCTCTATATAAGCCCAGTTCATTATTTTCTCCCATTTAACTGCGCACGTTCTTTAAATAAATAGCATACAACAACAGTGGCGGAGTCACGCAATGTTGCTAATGCCTTTAAATGAGGTGTTTATCCCCATAAGCCTACCTTAAAACCCTACCATTCTATCACGTTGTATTTGTTCAAGTTCTAACAACATCTGACGTTTATTGACATGTGTCCTTCACGTCATGTGGTTGTCAACACTATACTGGCATTCTGTGTTTTGATTTTAGTGTTAGTCAACACTATATTGGCATTCTGTTCATTTTGTTTTGATTTTAGTAGTAGTCAACACTATACTGGCATTCTGTTCGTTGTGTTTTGATTTTAGTGGTAGTCAACACTATACTGGCATTCTGTTCATGTTGTTTTGATTTTAGTGGTAGTCAACACTATTCTGGCATTGTGTTCATGTCGTTTTGATTTTAGTGGTAGTCAACACTATATTGGCATTCCCTTCATGTTGTTTTGATTTTAGTGGTAGTCAACACTATACTGGCATTCTGTTCATGTTGTTTTGATTGTAGTCCACTTTTTACTGTCCGTCTTAGTCCTGGTGTATTTATGATTACTAGAACAAATGACATTGTTTATCTTCAACAACTATATGGTGTGTTTATTTGTATGTCCGTGGTATTTCGGTTAAACCAAATCAATCTATATATATAATTCTCTTCTTGGAGACGTTAGAAAACAAGCTGTAAGCGCGCTCCCTACTACCCCCACCCCTACATGGTCTGGTGAGCTGTGGTTCACGCTAAATGTTTACAATCGTAGAGCCGCGTTTAGCGACGGCTATTAGGGGCAGATAATTTAGTTTGAAACGATTTTAAATTTAGGTTAGGTAACTAAGAGGATGCTATTTTCATGGGGGTGGTGGGGGGGGGGGTTATCGTCCTTATCGAGCTACTGATAGTGTTTTAAAGCAAATATATTCAGTGGCAGTATTGGTACTGTCGAATTCACAAATTATGAATTACTGAAAAGTAGAAAATAAAACAACTAAATAGCGGCATATGATACGCCGCGGGTCGGCTCGTACAAAATAAAATAAAACGGAAAACTAAATCTATTCTAATACTTAGGCTAATTGATCCTGATGAATTGTATCTTTGTTCTCATAAAAACAGAGAATATGAGAGTGTGAGGATGCATGCACAGTACTTAGAGTCTCTCGATACGGTACTTAGGCCTACATAGTTCTCGATCATTTTAATTTAGTCAAAATGTATGAAATAGGATGTTTCAAACTGTCAAAATGTATGAAACATCATCATTTAAAATATGATAATACAAATTGAGTCAAAATGTATAAAACTTTATGATTGAAATTGAGTGAAAGATTCTTGGCAAATGCCCAGCTCAACCAATCATGTTTGACAAGCTAAAGAAACAACGACACAAACATACACCCAAACACTCTAGACCTGATCAATACAACTTGTCAAGATATGACATACATTAATTATTTCAAAATGTATCAGTCCAACATTTCAAATACGAAACACGTAGGCTTTACATTTTTAAAAAAAAAGTAAATAACTGTTTAAGGGTCACGTGATATGAATTAAAAATTGTAAAAATAAATCACGTAAAAATGTATCTATAAATGTAACAGTGGGTACGCTAATATTTATAAAAACGGGAAAAAAAAAATTACGTGGGTAGGCCTATAACCTTCAATATTATGACGATAAGAAAAATCAGAGAAAATATCACTTTTTTTTTTTTTGCGGTAAACTGGTCCTTAAAAGGCCGTCCATCGATTAGTCGTAGCTTATAAAAACAGGCGGGTCCTGATTGATGCGTAGTGGCAACTGATGGAATTACAGTATACATACGGATTGATTTTTAACTATTTTGTAATCGAACTGTATGTGAAGTGATTTTAAGTTGACTAAAGGAGAGACATATTAGGATCAGCTCGTAAAAATACTATTAACATTTCGGTTGAACTGATCAACAAGTATTTGGCAAACGAAAGAAAAATCTAATTTTATTCATGACCACGGGTTTAGAAAAAAAAATTGGATTCTTCAAAAACTTCATTTTAAAAGACTAATTATTCTTCACAGCTAAATGAACGTATAGATAGAAAATAATAAAGTGTTCTTTTGTTATCGCCACAAAAAACAAAAGGTGTTAAATACTTGAATGTTAATTTTAAAGAGATAAAACTAGAGTGAAGATGGTTTTCTCAGTAAAGGTAACATTACTATTCACTATTCAGTGCATCCTGCATGTAAACAAAGCCTTGGCCCAGTGTCCAAGTGCGCGTAACTGTACGTCTTGCGCAGAAGGTGGCTCAGCATTGTGTGCTAACGTGTGCCCGGAAAATATCAACATACCCGCCAGTACACGGGAGTTTCAGCTAGTATCACCAACATGTGAACAGTGGTTATCAAATGGGATACTCAAGGCAAGTTATCTGAATGTCACATTTTCGGCGTATCTACAGAAGCTGGATCTATCTAGGACTGGTATAAAAACGATCACTATAGTCAACACAGCAACTTCACATTTACCACCGCCATTCCAACAACTGACCAAACTGAAGGTCTTGTCACTAGCTCACAATATCTTTACTCGACTTCCGTCAACAACGTTTACAGGACTAGATAAACTAGAAGAACTTGACCTCAGTAACAACGGGTTGGTTATGCTACTCCCAGATACATTCAAGCCTTTGACTTCACTCAAGAATTTCACTATTGCACATAACAATCTGACTGCCCTGACAAAAACAAACCTTGATGGCATGACACAATTGGAAACCATCGACATATCATCCAACCCCATCACAACTATAGCAGGCGACACGTTTAGCTCAATGAGCTTAATCCAATCCATCCTGATGAGAGACATGAACCTGACCAGCATTAGCTCAGGTTTATTCTCTAACCTCCACTCACTGAGGCACGTGGACGCTTCAGGTAACCAGATCACTTCTCTAGCAGACGACTGTCTGTCTGGCACATCTCTAGATCTACTTGACCTGTCCAACAACCAAATGACCAACATACCAACCAAGGCCATCCAACAAGCCAGCAACCAACCCAAGACACTGGACCTCAGCAACAATAAAATAACACAAGTCAGCCACCAAGATATGACAAGTCTTACAGTAGAGACTTTAGATCTCAGTGGGAACCCGTTAGCTCAAATTGTGGACGGTACTTTTGATGGCTGTACTATCAAACATATTGACCTCAGTAACACAGGGCTGACGTCACTTCCTGCTTCCATACAACCTTGGCAGACCGGCGGACCAACCAGTCTAATCCTGGACAACCCGTTCTGGACAGGTAACGTGGACATACTGCTATTATCACGTGACCTGGCTAAAACATGTAACCCAACCACAACCTACCTGGCCGACGCACTGACAGCTGCACTACAACAGCGGGAAAACACATGCCCTACACATACATTCGCCACAAGTACCACAATCAAGACCACGCCATCAAGGCAAACATCTACATGTAGCACCGGGGCTGTAGTCGTGACGGAGGAAATATTTCTAGGCTTGCTGGTTACCACGGCGTTGTGCTTGATGTAAAGCAGGCAGCGACACAACAGACTGATGGGAAATGGCTTTACAGATTTCCACGGCTATCGACACTTAATGCACTTTCCTTGAGTATAACACTTTAGCACATTTTATAACATTGATTTAGCATATAAACGAAGTTATTTAAGTTAGCTGCTTAAAACTGATCAATAAAATCTGTGTATTAAAAAAAAAAATATTTTAAATAAGTTTCGCTTACATGACTAAAATTAGCATTTAAATAAATCAATGTGATTATCTATATCGTCTAATAAATTGTAGATAATGAAAACGAAGTTTGTTTAATTTGTTAAAATATTTTGTGTTGGTTTTTGGCAGGTATTTTTTTGGCTAGACTTGTTATAATGTTCAATCACGCAGGAATAAAAAGCCCTTATAATAATGGAATGCTTCAATTATTCAATAGTGCTGATATTGAAAGTACCAAACATCCTGGGGCATTACACCTGGTAAAATAAGTTACATTATTTTTCTTTGTCTAACAACGACATCAAAATAACAACGCCATATTGTGATGTAATCACTTGTTTTGAATATTAGTTGTATAATATGCACAACTGAGAATTTGGTAAATCCTGAATTATTATTACAAGCAGTACTACTAGTAGTAGTGATAGTAGTAGCATGTTGGACAGTCCTTAATCATCAGCACCCTACAAGAGCTAGGTACGGTCTCAAGCTGAGTTGACTCAGTGTTAAATTTAAATCAGCAGTCGGAAACAAAAACATGATTGTTTATTTTTAACAGAGCAACTTGGTATAGGATGGTTGATGGTGGTTTCATGTGTCATATGCCGCTGAATATTACACATCCGTATGATTATATGGGTATACAAACAGAATACACTTGGTAAGGGTGCTACACCACCACACTATAAAACGTGTGCATGTCCATCGACGCAAGTATGTCTGGACTAGATCAAAGGTTAAGTATGCCTGTCATAAGACTTAAGTTAATTTATACCATGCATGGTAATTAGAGTTCATATTAGGACTTAAACAAAGTATGAAGTATTTTAAAAATACAAAAATTTAAAGGCGCAGCACGATTGATGCTAGGTTACCTGTATCGACAATTATATTGGCACCAGTAAAACCAGTTCTAAGACCAAGATAAGGATTTTAACCAGCTATTTATATAAATGTTGCAGGTAAAAATAAACAACAACCCACGATATGATATAAACAGTTTCTAGATAGTACTTAACAGCCACATCAGTGAACTTAGAAAGTAATATGTCCCACGCATTGAAATAGTGCTCTGTAAGCATCGAAATCTAGAGTGTTGCTGTGTGTTCGTGGGCGATGCGTTTGTTCAATAAATATCAAGGTAGATAAAGTAAATATCAAGCTAAACACTTTTACTCAAATTTAATTAAAGTTTTAAGAAACGTTCAACCACAAAGTACTCGGGTACCACACTACCAGCTGCACTTCCACAGATGGAAATAGACAGTATTAAAACAACAGCCACTTCGACAAAAGTCACTTCTACCATTTTTACGACCTCATCCACCACTACAACCCAAGATGCTACCACGACAGCCCCTCTAGTGAAAGAGAACCCAGCCGACCAGTCCAACATTAGCATTCTCGTACAGAAACTTCAACAACCAAAGACACAAATAACATTACAAGTGCCGGAAGAAGCCCTTCTCCCCTCATACAAGTTATGTGGAACAAGCCCTTCTCCCCTCATACAAGGCATGTGGAGCAAGCCCAGGCTCCCATCATACAAGTCCCGTGGAACAAGCCAAAACTACTTTCATACAAGTGCTGGAACAAGCCAGGCCTCACTTCATCTTGAACCATCTACTACAACCACTGTCTGCCACTCGGACCCCAAGACTTCACGAAGCACTGCTTCAATACTACCACAACTTGTGTTTTAATAGAGATATGAATTTCCAAACATCTAGAAAAAATGAATGGAAGAACTATGTTGATTTTGAAAATCCAAATATGACAATTCATTATGTTATTCTGTTGTATATTATCAGTTTACTTTACTATTATTAAGGACAAATACATTTTTAAAAATCCCATCCATTAGTAAATGTACTTTTGAAAAAAAAAATTGGCCTCACTATATTCTTGTATAATGCTTATAGTTATACTTAAACGAATAGTGACTGATGCAAATCAAATTCAAATAAAACGTTCAAAGAGGTAGTCAATGTACTAAATAATTGTAACATTCTTCGCTAACATTTTAAAATTAAAATAATTAGAAAATAGCACGATATAACAAAACGTAGCCAGGCTTGTCTTTTCTCCTTCTAATGTGTTGAATATACGCGAATTTACAACACGGACCTTGAGTAAAATTAAACGCGAACATTTTGTCAAAACAAAGTTGCCTCGAATCTAGTGATAATACAACAGTTGCATTGCTTGCAATGAAATAAAATGGAACATGAGTAACAGAAATTCGAAATTTCTGACGAAATTTCTGTCCATTCGTGCAAGTGTCCATTTAAAAAATAACCATAGGTCAAACGTCTTCCCGCAAGTGTCTCTCGGGAATCTGTCGAAGACCCCCACACATGCCAGCTATTATTAAGAGACTAGGTTAACAACTGTAACATAAACATCGCAGGTCAATCTATACACGTCATATGAAAATGATTAAGTTGAGTGCTACAAACACAAATCTGAAAATAGAACACAACAAATGGCAAATGTTCTGTGTAAACTAAACCAACTAGTTTTGAAAGAGATAAGATATTGAACCGAAAAAAAAAGAGATTGCCACCCATTGGTCTTTAAGTAGAGTATGTAAAACATTCAACGATTTGTAGTGGTTTATCAAAACGAGTTGGATTTGGTGGATGTTGTGTAGAAACCATTTTGAGAACAGGTGAGTTGTCGAAAGCAAGTTTTAATGAATTTCATAAAAAGATAGCAAATTAAAAAAAACATACATGTAGGCCTATATGCTGTAACACAGAGGGGTATTTTTAGTTTTACTAATACCATTTGTAATTTCGTATTTATCAATATATGCTTGATTGAATTATTATAATATTAATAGTACTAGACTTTTAAATGCGAGTATTTCTAAATTATGTTTCCAGGTGACAAGAATGTGATTACATGTTCCTGTGTGGAATGACATTGGAGTAACACATTTAATTAAACTACATCTGTAAAACTACAGCCGTGGGAAATGTTTATCTCCGGGAGAATTGTACTAGCACTATCGATATTTCATTGTGTGTATCTGGTACTGTCTCAATGTCCAACAGACCCGGGCTGTACGTCTTGTGTTGCTGGAGGCTCAGCTTCTTGTGCTAATGTGTGTCCGGACAGTATCAACATACCCGCCAATACACGGGAGTTTCAACTAGTAGCTCCAACGTGTACTCAATGGTCATCAAATGGGGTGCTAAGGGCAGGTTATCTGAACGTAAGCTTTTCGGCAAGTCTTCTGAAGCTGAACCTGTCTAGTACAGGTATAAAAGTCATAGCTTTATCTCCAAACCCCATTGCACATAGTCCACCACCATTTGAACACATGACATCCCTCAAGGTTCTGTCACTTGCAAATAATATAATTCCAAGATTTCTTCCAACAACATTTACGGGACTTAGTCAACTAGAGGAGCTGGATGTCAGCAACAACGTAATAGCCATGTTGCTTCCAGATACTTTCAAACCTTTGACTTCACTCAAGAATTTTAATCTTGCACACAATAAGCTGTCAAGCTTAAACAAAACAAGTTTTCATGGTCTGACACAATTAGAAATTATGGACATATCATCCAACCCAATCACAACTATAGCAGGCGACACGTTTAGCTCAATGAGCTTAATCCAATCCATCCTGATGAGAGACATGAACCTGACCAGCATTAGCTCAGGTTTATTCTCGAACCTCCGCTCACTGAGGTACGTGGACGCTTCAGGTAACCAGATCACTTCTCTAGCAGACGACTGTCTGTCTGGCACATCTCTAGATCAACTTGACCTGTCCAACAACCAACTGACCAACATACCAGCCAAGGCCACCCAACAAGCCAGCAACCAACCCAAGACACTGGACCTCAGCAACAATAAAATAACACAAGTCAACCACCAAGATATGACAAGTCTTACAGTAGAGACTTTAGATCTCAGTGGGAACCCGTTAGCTCAAATTGTGGACGGTACTTTTGATGGCTGTACTATCAAACATATTGACCTCAGTAACACATGGCTGACGTCATTTCCTGCTTCCATGGAATCTTGGCTGACCAGTGTTCCAACCAGTCTCAACCTGGACAACCCCAACTGGTCCTGTGACTGTGACATGCTGTGGTTGGCTCGTCTTCTTTCTACGAAATCATCCTTTACACCACCCACATGTGGTTCAACCACAAAGTACTCTGGTACAACACTGTCAACTGCACTACAACAGATGGAGATTGACTGTCTTACAACAACAACAACAACCACCACAACGACTACAACAACCACAAATAACACAACACCAACAACGACCACACCGACTACCACTACGCCAACCACCACGGCAACTACAACCACGACAACGACTACACCAACAACCACCACAACGACTACAACAACCACAACACCAACAACGACGACACCGACTACCACTACGCCAACCACCAAGGCAACTAGAACCACGACGACACCAACCACGACAACGACTACACCAACAACCACAACCACCACTATACCAACAACTACCACAGCGACCACACCGACTACATCTACGTCAACCACAACAACAACGACAACCACTACAACCACCTCGGTGAAAGAGAATCCAGCCGAACAGTCCAACACAAACATCCTCATACAGCTACTCCAACAACCAAAGACACGCTTAACACTTCAAGTTCTGGAACAAGCCAAGTCTCCCATCATACAAGTTCGGGAACAAGCCAAGCCTCCCATCATACAAGTTCTGGAACGAGCCCAACCTCCCATCATACAAGTTCTGGAACAAGCCCAACCTCCCATCATACAAGTTCTGGAACAAGCCAAGACTCCCATCATACAAGTTCTGGAACAAGCCCAACCTCCCATCATACAAGTTCTGGAACAAGCCCAACCTCCCATCATACAAGTTCTGGAACAAGCCAAGACTCCCATCATACAAGTTCTGGAACAAGCCCAACCTCCCATCATACAAGTACTGGAACAAGCCAAGCCTCTCATCAAACAGGTTCTGGAACAAGCTCAAAGTCCCATCATACAAGTTCTGGAACGAGCCAAGCCTCCCACCATACAAGTTCTGGAACAAGCCAAACCTCCGCTGATCTTGAACCTGTTGCTACAGCCGCAGTCTGCCCATATGGCACCAAAACTTCACGAGGCACTGCTTCAATATTACAACTAAAGCAGTTTGTATTCGTAGACGTTTAGTAGATATGCTAATAACTAAACCCTTATTCGATTCAATCTAGAGCTATTATGTTACAATAATGCTTTCTTTAAATAAATAATTAATATAGAAATAGTGAGAAAAACTACACTGGAAGCGTTATCATAATTATTGTTTATTTCTTTAAAACCCTGTGATTGAAATAGTTCCAAGCGTGATTTTGCTACTGTTTTATATTCATTTGAAAATTATGTTTTAGGAATCGCTTATAGTAATAACTTATAGTAAGAACTGCTTTATGGGTCTCGCGAAGGCAGAGATAACATAGTATAATGTGCCAGTTTACAACGGTTGGACTATTTTAAGCAGAGTTTGTGTGCTGAATTTGTTAGGATATTTCTTACATTTATTGTCTGTAATATAATTTCCAATATTTTAACGTTTTAGTAGTATACGTGTTATTTAAATGTAATTCAATAGTTTGGAAGACATAATTATATTGTAAACATGTTTTTATTGTTCTTGGTATTGGTTTTATTAATATAAACACATATTGTCTCTTACCAGACCTAGCGAGAACCCAGTTCTACATTAGGATACTTCAAGCAGCCAATGGATATCTTTACTGATGGCCCGTGACTTTTATAGTCCTGTAGTAGTCCTGTTATGATGCATGTTATAATCTATGCTATAGATTGGCGCGAATGAATGTTGGTGCGAAAGGTATGTTAAACGCAAAGAATGATGACGCGTATGGTGCGACAGTGACGTTCTGGTGTAGAGACTGGTTGCTAGGTATTGTGCGTGAGTTAGTATGATTTTCTTCGCCTTGGTGGAAGGATGTATGTGAGTTGAGAGTACAGAATTAAAGATAAGAAAAGAAGCCTGAGTTCCTCTTATTGATTGTTGGTCGTCCCCGTCGTCTTAGTGAATGATGGTACAATGTATGTCTGTGAACACATCTCCACATGGTAGTGGTTAAGAAAAAATGGTATTGGAGCAAATAACCAAAGACACTCACGCATCATAACAAACATTAACATATCAAGCTCTTGACGGTGTTTACTATTGTTTTGTTTATTAAAACGATATCTAACGTAATTACTAAACACATTTTTAAAATAACAATGTATTGTGTTTTGTTTTAACTGTCAATCTGCTAAGACTCAATGTTAAACTTGTAACCAGAAACTGTAAAATAATTAAATAACATGTACCATAGCTATGTTTAGTTAAACCAGCAGTAAGCACATATGGGTAAAAACATTACCGCAATAATCACATAACACTTTTATATCAATGACAACTATAATATAATATCATGTTGAATCCATACATATGCATCACGGATTAGTTACTGTTCAATAAATGCTTTAGAAAAATAAATTAAAAAAAAAAAATCGATATTGTTCGTAAAAAAATAACGGTAAAGAAGGGGGAAACATACATCAATTAAAAGGGACGTACAAGGGAAGCTACAAAACATGACGGTTATTAATGGCTCGAATATTTGAGATATTCATAACCATTACCGATTTCAAAAAAAATTATATTTTGACACATTTTTAAAGTTAAATGACGTCGTGCTCGAGTGATAGTGCTCGACAACTAACCCGAGAGTCTCAAGTTCGGATCTCTATCCGGACGTGTCTGAAGGCCGTCCCTGAGTCCACCCAGCTCTGATGGGTACCCAACTCACGTTAGGGTAAGTAAAGATGGCTGGAATAGTGCTGATCCCACTACCGATTCATATACCTAGGTCAAGAAGTATGTGAAATCAATTTCGTCTGCTTTATTGGTCGTCAGGTCTGAAAGTTGCACTGAGAACATTCCACAATGTACTTATGACACTCAGTGTAACACATGAGTTTTAAATTTTAAACTAAAGATAATCCAGCAGGACAAACACAGAACAATAAACAAAACTAGCTTACTTTTCAAAAGTAGAAGTAGAATGACTATAAATAATAGCTTACTATTCACAAAGTAAAAATCGCATAACTACAAATATATTACATGTGGCTTGATGTAACCTGAAGGGTCAGAGTTCCAAACTACGTGACGAAATGTTCACGACTCAAGTATGTAGAGCGTGTCCACTGAGCTACAATTGGCGTTAGAACACGGATGAAAACATAGGATGCAGCTGCTTTACAAACAAAATTGACGTCGTGTTCGGGTGCCTAAAGTAGGTAAATCTCATACTTCACCGGTACATATGGGAGTTACGCATAAAATACCAGCTGAAGAGTAAATTAACTTATCAGTATAATTCACACGAATGGACTCTAAGCAAGTAACAAACGAAACATAAACTACGTATTAAACTTCTTTAAAGTGTTAACATGGTTACCAAATTAAGTCACTAATAATTTAAAACCTTGTAGCAATAACTACCACAATAGAAAATAATCGTTACCAATGCATCACTATGATGAGAACATGTTTAATTATAGGCACTACCTAGACCTATTGATGTCGACGTTAAATTAATTTTGAGGAGGAGAGGGAATCTGGTATTGTTGGGATGACATTTAACTATTACACTCGCAAAAACAAAATTGTTCTTATAAAAACACTTAACATGAAGATCAACCAGCTAACACCTACAGTTACAAAGGGAAGCGACATCGTGCAGTGGTGTTGATTAATAAATTCAACTATCAGACACCGCCTATAATTGGAAGGTTAGTGTGACTGGGTATTTATCTAAATATACATGAGGTAAAGCATAATAGACGGTTTATTATGTCAAGTAAACAGAAGGGCCTTTCTATTTATCGGGTTGAAAATAAAAATTGCCCCTTCGACATAATATTAGCCTAGGGGAGGTTATTAAAATAAAGCAGTCACTATAATAGTTTTTTTGCTGCTTTCCCCTGAGGTAGTACCCGATTCAATTATTTCTCAGGTGGATTGGGTCGGGATGGATTGTGTCGGTGTGGATAGGGTCGGTGTGGATAGGGTCGGTGTGGATAGGGTCGGGGTGGATAGGGTCGGGGTGGATTGTGTCGGAGTGGATTGGGTCGGGGTGGATAGGGTCGGAGTGGATTGGGTCGGGGTGGATAGGGTCGGGGTGGATAGGGTCGGGGTGGATTGTGTCGGAGTGGATTGTGTCGGAGTGGATTGGGTCGGGATGGATTGTATCGGTGTGGATAGGGTCGGGGTGGATAGGGTCGGAGTGGATTGGGTCGGGGTGGATAGGGTCGGGTGGATTGTGTCGGGGTGGATTGGGAAGGGGTGGAATGGGTCGGGGTGGATAGGGTCGGGATGGATTGTGTAGGGGTGGATTGGGTCGGAGTGGATTGGGTCTGGGTGGATTGGGTCGTGGTGGATTGGGTCGGGGTGGATAGGGTCGGAGTTGATTAGGGGATAATCACATAAATAAAACTAATGAAGACAGTTCAAATACATAAATTGTATTGGTTAAACAATTTTAAACTAAAATCGCGAAAACAATTTTCAATGATTTCGATTTTTGGCCGTGTAAATGAGACACAGTCCCACACTACAAATAAATACGTTTTATTCAAAATACAACTCAGTTACCAGATTCATATTTACATTAAAAGTGCATACTATAATTATTACTACATTGCACTAAATGTTGCGGACGTACTTTTTAAATCTCAGCTATCAACTTTTACTGCTAGAAGTAGTGTTACTACAATTATTTATCGAACTGTTAGTTTAAGCTGTTTAAAACATCAGCAAAACTATAGAAATTGTTTTAAAAATCTGGCTTAATATTTAAAAAAAAAAAAAAAAAAAAAAATTCGTAATATGTTGTGGTTTACCAAACTATGTATTACTATAGTAGATACCAGTAGTCAAAAAGTATATGAAACAGGTTATTTAAAATTGTAAAAATTCTATTAGTGATTCTAAATTAATTATCCCTTACCCAGGTCCGTGTGTAAATATTCTAAACTATGTAAAATAGTTTAAATGATCAACTGACGGATTAATTGTAATAAAAATAAAAATTATACCTTTTTATCTTTAAGTTTTAAAATTTGATACATTTGGGAAAGTTTCAATTGATAGTTTACTAAGGACGGCATTTTACAAAATAAAAAAAAACAATTATTGGATTACTACATCTTTAAAAAAAAAGGTGACTTCCTTCTTAATAAAAACAAACTTGAACTGATATGAGAAAAATTGTACACACCCACACTAAAGACCTGCTACCAGGCTGTAGGGTGTGGGTTGGTAGAGATAAAAAGGTACGCAGATAGCGCCCTCAGTTCCCTTACGATAAAACACTAGGGCCTATATAAACTTTTTTCGATTGGATACAGCTACCATATGACATTTCAAGCGCTCGTGTAACAAGTTGATTTTCTATTCACAGTTTAATGTTTGATTTATTCTGTTAACAGCAGTAGTAATGTGTTAATGTTATTAAATACACAGAAAAAGTTTGATAATTAAAAGACAACAATTGTCCAGTGCATTGTTGATAATACTGTATCAAGTGTGAGTTTAAGAACAACCTAAACATTTTACTTGTCAACGTTTTAGAAGCATCAAGGATTTTAATTTTCAATAGTCAAGCTCTTCACTAACATAAACTTGTAAGTGCATAAAAATTTAAAGCTAAAATGATTTTGATAAGGCGAATCACACCTGTATTATTTCTTGTGAACTGTTATTTGTATATCAACAAAGTATTGGCCCAGTGTCCAACAGAAACTAGCTGTATATCTTGTGTAGATGGAGGCTCAGCTTCTTGTGCTAATGTGTGTCCGGACAGTATCAACATACCCGCTAATACACGGGAATTTCAACTAACAGCTCCAACTTGTGCTCAATGGTCATCAACTGGGATGTTAAGGGCAGGTTATCTGAACGTAAGCTTCTCATCAAGTCTTCTTAAGCTTAACGTCTCTAGTACAGGTATAAAAGCCATAGCTGTATCGCCAAACCCCATTGCACATAGTCCACCACCATTTGAGCACATGACAAACCTCAAGGTTCTGTCACTTGCACATAATACAATTCCCAGATTTCCTCAAACAACATTTACAGGACTTGGTCAGCTGGAGGAGTTGGATGCCAGCAACAATGTAATCGCCATGTTACTTCCAGATACTTTCAAGCCTTTGACTTCACTCAAGAACTTCAATCTTGCACACAATAAGCTAACAAAATTGGACAGATCAAGTTTTGATGGCCTAACAAAATTGGAAACTCTCGACATATCATCCAACCCCATCACAACTATAGCAGGCGACACGTTTAGCTCAATGAGCTTAATCCAATCCATCCTGATGAGAGACATGAGCCTGACCAGCATTAGCTCAGGTTTATTCTCTAACCTCCACTCACTGAGGCACGTGGATGCTTCAGGTAACCAGATCACTTCTCTAGCAGACGACTGTCTGTCTGGCACATCTCTAGATCAACTTGACCTGTCGAACAACCAACTGACCAACATACCAACCAAGGCCATCCAACAAGCCAGCAACCAACCCAAGACACTGGACCTCAGCAACAATAAAATAACACAATTCAGCCACCAAGATATGACAAGTCTTACAGTAGAGACTTTAGATCTCAGTGGGAACCCGTTAGCTCAAATTGTGGACGGTACTTTTGATGGCTGTACTATCAAACATATTGACCTCAGTAACACAGGGCTGACGTCACTTCCTGCTTCCATGGAATCTTGGCTGACCAGTGGTCCAACCAGTCTAAAGTTGGACAACCCCAACTGGTCATGTGACTGCGATATGCTGTGGTTGGCTCGTCTTCTTTCTAAGAAATCATCCTATACACCACCGACATGTGGTTCAACCACAAAGTACTCGGGTACCACACTATCAGCTGCTCTACCACAGATGGAGATTGACTGTCTAACAACAACCACAACCACCACAACGACTACAACAACAACAACCACGACAACACCAACAACCACAACCACCACTACACCAACAACGACCACACCGACTACCACTACGCCAACCACCACGACAACTACAACCACGACGACGCCTACTACTACTACATCTACCACTACACCAACAACCACAACGCCAACAACCACAACTCCTACAACCACCACAACACCTACTACAACCACGACGCCAACTACCACAACACCAACAACAACCACCTCAACAACCACACTCGCGGCACCGAAGCCCCAAAACCCCCCAGCCCCTCCTGCCTCCAGCACCAACAGCACCATCGTGGAGATGATGCCCATTGTCCTGGCTGTGATGGTGACCATCGCCCTGTGTCTGGCAGTGGCAGGTCTCATCGCATCCTGCTACCTGTGTCGTAAAACCAACAAAGTCTCGGCACAAGCACAGGCTCAAGCCGTGCCACAATATGCCATGTCGTATATGCCCGCCTAATGCCCACCTTTACGCCATGTCCTACATCACATGCCCGACTGATGCCCAACTTTTTACTACGTGTTGCAGTAAAACAACGACGCTGTCATATCACTATATTTTATACGCCATACTGACGAGGAATGAACTAATGTGAAATAATTGTTATGTTTTAATTTAATCTAATTGTGTACATAAATGTGTGTATAAGTGAGTACTCTAAAACCTAGTCATCATGTTCACATATTTCTATCATTACTACTTTAATACAATTGCTTAATTATAACACATGCCAACATATTCTGTTTTAGTAACTAGCATGTTTTACGTTTCACACAACACATGCCAACATGTTCTAGACTCCATACGTTTTATATTTCAAATACAAGAAACTTTAGTTAAATATACCACATACAATTGGTGTATGTTCTATTTATTATGAACATAAATGCACTCTATTTGATACGACTTTCTAACTTTAACATAAAAAACACATATTTTCAATGCTGACATATTAACACGACCCATCCATACATCATTTAAAATATACCATGTTGAACTGTACTTAAAGTTACCGAACTACTCCTAGTCTTTCATGCCTTATCATGCCTTAATACATGTTTTCTACATGTTTTCTCGCTACTTTTAACGGTGCTGTAATTGAAAATCATGGTGTATATAATGACTGATTGTATTTTGTTTTTGTTTACTTCGAAATTTGAAAAAAAAATGCTCATCTAATAACTACATAAAAAGTGCAAACAATGTTTAAGGAATATTTTAAGTTTTAAGATCATTTTATGCTTTAATTTGTCGTTCTCATAGTGCACTAATGTGTAAATACAAAAATAAAACACGACTTATTTAAATTAATCAATACTGTTGTATGCAAGGAAAATAATATTTTATCAAGTTCAATTAAAGCGTGTTTCTAACTTTACTGTCATTTTACTATTTTTATTTGATCTCTACAAGCATTAACTTTGTATTTGTTATTATTACACGTCAAAATTATTCGAAAAAATATGTTAATGAGTTGTTATATATTTTAAATAAACATTTCACAATGAACTATGTTTGTGGTTGCCTGTGTACTAATCTTTGCTGTTTGTCCATTCTATAAATTCTAGCTAGTAAAGAATGAAAATAACGTTGATCTACTTCAATAAAGCCAGCACTGGAATTATTAAACCCCAGAGGAACAATGGAAGGTCAGTAACCCCAGGAGATGTCTGGGTCAATACAAGACCAGAGAGAAAATGACAACAAAAAACTATGAAAGAGTGGGGACTTGACAATAGCTATAGAAACGATTGGACGCTTTCTTTATTGTAAAGATCTGTAGCAACAAGACAAGGCATTGATTGTGTTGTTGTCAAGTAGATAGAGTTACCAACTGAAATGAATGGGGAACATTGAATTGTGAATGGAAACATTGAATTTTTATAATAATAGCAATATTAAAATAAGTAGACACAATGAGAGAATAGTAAATATAAAGGAAATCTAAGTAAACAAAATCCAATTATCAATAAGGTTCCTATAGATGAGCCTTATACACCTATCCTTACAGAAACTGCCTTAACGTTATGTTTAGCATTCAGATTTAACGTTGTCGTAGTTAGTGCGTTATTTCAAGTGGGTTTTACAGCAATAGCTACTGTTAGGTTTATGATTAGAGTATTGCCATCAATTATACCAGCTACATGAGTACATGATTTTATCACAACACCAATTATTTGTAAATTCTATATCAATTGAAACACATTTAGATCATCTGTTAATCTGTTAAAGAAAAGTCAACTAAAAATTAAATTTGAGAAGTGCAAAACAAAAAGTAGAAAATAAATGATTTTCTTTAAATATATAATACTAATACTTTTAAATTACTATAAAGTAAAGCGTGGGTCTCTTTTTCCAAAATTTAGGTAAAAGTATCTAATCCTAATATATAAAAGCCCATGTGCGCACTTCTCTCTCTCTGTCCGCAAAATATTTTCGCCGGATATCACATCAGAATCTTCAGCGATATATGGAGAACTTGATACGGATTTTTGTTGAAAATAATATGGTAGATGTTTTAAATGTATAATCACAATTTTATTTAAAGAAGAAAAATAAAAAATAAAGGCATATTCGAATGTAGAAAAACATTGCGAGGATAATCGTTCTTTATGAGCTACTGATTGTATTTTAAATAAAAATATTTTCAGTCTCAGCATTGGTAGTGTCCAATTTACAAATTATGAATATTGAAAAGTAAAAAATAAAACAACTAAATAGCGGCGTATTCGAAGCCGTGGATCAACTCTTCCTTTGTATTCCAAATACAAAAAAAAAAGTGGGGAGGTGAAAAACAGCGAAAAACTGTTAAAATTTCATTTAATGTGTGTGCACGTTTACAATATAAGAGAAATTAAAACTCAAACAGCTAAACTGTCCATCGAAAGGATTTAAAACAGTCACTCCATACTTCTATTGATTTATGTGTATACATACGTATCTACTAACAATGTTGGTACATAGCTCACCAATATGTTGCGTCTTACATAATTTCACTTTTATACGTTTTTACTCTGTCAATAAGGGTTCTCTTGTTGTGGGTTTGTGAAACATCTTTAAAGTCAATCGTCACCAGCTAATACAGCGATTTTAAACTTTTCAGATACAGTTATCTCTGAAGTCAATGCAATAATATATCATTGTTTATATATAATTAAATTAGTCATTGACTAGTAATTTAAATATTACTTTATTAAAAGACAAACGTGGAATAAACAGTTCTATATATTAGCGATACTCGATCAGCCAGGTGATGTGGTTGAACTGTATTCAGGAATGTTTTCACGCCTATGGACCGACCACGGACGTTAATAAAAGGCAGATAATTGTCTTTTAGAGTTATGATTGCAGGTTATAAAAAGTGTAATTGTACGTGGTGTCAACTTCAATGAGACCAAACGGAATGGAAAAAAAAAGAAGTAAAAATTGATTTTAAAAATATAAATATTGATTCGCAAGTCGAAATCAAGTTTTTTTTTCCTTTCGTAAAAAAAACCACCGTTAGTAAATAAAACCTTCAAAAAGGTTTGCGATCAATGTTTTTGCTAAATTGAGACCACTTGTTTAATTTCCATATAATCAGAGCATTTCAAAGTTTATCATTATAAACATTTTTTTAAATATTTATTTATTAATCCACAATGACACTGTAATATAAGGAGTTACACGTGAATCAGATTAAAATAACTCATTTTCATACCATCAATCATTTTATAGATATGCAATGTAAACTGTATAGCACACTATGTTTAAATCAGAGGAGCAGTTGGGGGGGGGGGGGTTTGATGCCCAGATACTGAGAACAATTATACATCAATGCCATATTTATACTTTGATCTCACGTAAAGACTGAGAGGTGTAAATAGTAAGAAGCTGTTGGCCAAAGTTCTGGTCGTATGGATTCAAGTGGTCAACATGTAGGCCGTAAGTGGGTGATTTCTCACAGGTCGTCATAGCGAGTTATGTCAACAGTTAGCTGTCGATAAATAAGGACTGAATGATTTGCCAAATCTCTATCAAAACGTGTTGGCCACAAAGAAAACAGGTTCAGTGTGGAGAAGATTAGCGGGCTTACATTTTTTGTGTATCAACAGTGAAAGTTAACTGATAATTCTGTAATGGCTTCTGTGACTCAACATGCTTCTACATTTGGATAGTTGACCAGACTCAATACATTGTAATTTTGTGCGTCTTATTTTTAACAAAGGCTGAATATTTTCTGTGTTGAAAAAAACAACAACTAGGTAACAAGTGTGTTTTTTTTTTACCTTTAGACTTGTGAAATTGGACAATAAAACATTAAATAAATAAACAAATTTCGATCGTGTCAAGTGATAGAGGATCAGTGCTAACGATGCTACTTCTCTGGATGTTTGTTATTGTGTGTGTTGAGCCACTGTTTCACAAGGACGGGGTGAGCATGTTTGTGGCGGCCCAGTGCCCCACTATACCGGAGTGTACAAAGTGTGAAGAGAACGGTCAAGCTGTGTGTGGCAGTGTGTGTCCAGCTGACATCCCACTACCCGCCAGCACGACCTATCTTAGAGTGGACAACGGCACTTGCACTGATTGGGCAAAAATGGGACTAATTAGAGCTGCTTATTTCCCGTCAAACACCAATTTACAAGTGCTCAACTTATCAAATTCTCACGTGGACAGATTTTTCGGTACACCATTTACATCAACGCCAAATCTTAAGAGTCTATTACTGTCAAACAACCACATACGTGGAGTAGCCTCAGCTTACTTTACATCGCTAACGCAACTAGAGGTGATAGATGTAAGTTTTAACACAATTGGTGCTATGTTAGCCTCAGCATTCTCTAGTGTACCAACACTTAAACACCTGAACCTGGCCAACAATGCACTGGCTAAACTAATTACTGGGACATTCAATGGTCTGGCTAATCTCATAGATCTCAATCTGTCCAATAACAGCATAGCAACAATAGACGCCGACGTCTTCCACCCTCTTGCTAAAGTACAAACCATCAACATCAACAACAACCAACTCACTGATGTCCCCGCTACAATGTTTGCTAACTTACTGAATCTAAGGCTGCTAGAAATTTCTGGAAACAAAATAGCCACGCTAGCAGACGACTGTCTGTCAGGCACATTTCTAGATAAATTAGACTTGTCCAATAACCAACTGACCAACATACCAACCAAGGCCATCCAACAAGCCAGCAACCAACCCAAGACACTGGACCTCAGCAACAATAAAATAACACAAGTCAGCCACCAAGATGTGACAAGTCTTACAGTAGATACTTTAGATCTCAGTGGGAACCCGTTAGCTCAAATTGTGGACGGTACTTTTGATGGCTGTACTATCAAACATATTGACCTCAGTAACACAGGGCTGACGTCACTTCCTGCTTCCATGGAATCTTGGCTGACCAGTGGTCCAACCAGTCTCAACCTGGACAACCCCAACTGGTCATGTGACTGTGACATGCTGTGGTTGGGTCGACTGTTGCTCACTAAGACCTTCTCTCCCCCATCGTGTGGAGCAGCCACCAAGTACAGTGGTACAACCCTCACCGCTGCCATGCCACAGATGGAGATTGACTGCACGACAACCACCACGACAACTACCACTACTACTACAACAACTACAACAACCACGCCAACTACAACCACGACTACTCCGACCACTACAACTACACCAACGACTACGACAACGACCACCCCGACAACAACACCTACTACTACGACTACGACTACCACACCAACAACCACGACGACCCCCTCTACCACCACAACCCCAACGACCACAACAACTCCGACGACCACAACTCCAACACCAACAACCACTACGCCTACCCCAACCACTACCACACCATCCACCACAACCAGGCCAACAACAACCACCACATCAACCACCGCCCAACCCATCGCCCCTCAACCCCAAACCCCCAGATCCAACCCTAATCCCCCCGCTCCCCCTGCCAGCACCACCAACAAAGACATTGCGGACATGATGCCGATAGTTCTAGCCGTGATGGTCACTGTGGCGTTGGGCCTGGCCACTGCCGGCCTCATAGCGTCCTGCTACTTATGCAAAAAGACCAACAAAGTCCAGTCCCAACAGTACCCGCCCATGCCGCCAATGAAACTAGCTTGGCAGCCGGCCTAACTCTGTTGGTACCCGCATTGATGGGACCGTTCCCTGAGGTACAGTTCCATTAGAGCAATTACAATGATAAGGCTACAACTACAACATCCCACCAGGACTACTTAATTGATTACAAATAAAGCACCAAGAACAAAATTTTGAAAAGTCAGTTTTGCCCGACAAGAAAAATTACTAAGTTAATGGACACAAGCGAGAAAAGTCTCAAAGGTATTTGAGAGGTGCATAAATTAATTTAAAAATCTTGCACGGCGTAGTTACAATTAATATGGTTATAAAATCTGGTTTGGTCTGGTTTTTTTCGGACTTTACTAAAGATTGGACGTATTTGATGTTTTTAATATTTTCGGTAACTAAATAAAAATTAAAAAAAAAAGCAAAAACAATTTGGTTTTCACGTGTAATGGCGACATAAACAATGGCGTCCTGCTATTGGATAGGCCGACATAAATTGTATTGTACACATTGTAAGCTAAAAATAGAAAACTAGGTCATGGGGTTTTAAATTTGCATTGTTATTTAAAAACTTGATCTGCAAAGTTTTGTAAACAAATAGTTATCGATCACTAAGTTACTGTACAGCCAATCAATATTTGTCTTACGAAAGTGAAACATCCGGTTATAACTTAGGCTTGATGAAAATAAATAGAAATGTAGCCTTAAACTCAACAAATTATTTTCAAGTTCTCTGGATTTGCAACTTTTATAGCATTTATTCTAAAAATATAAAATTTCTAAATTAATTTTAGGCTTAAGTTTTTATTTTTAATTTTTTTTTACGGTCTAAATCTAAAAAGCACGTTTTTATTCCATGTCAACAACACTATGGAAGGAATCTCGTCAACTCGCTTGTCTCCATTAAATACTTTATTTTCTCGTACCAAATGTTTATTAGTTTTGATGAATGAAAAGATAGCAAATAATATTAATAAAATATCACTTAAATGCATAGGTTTAATAATAAACTAAGAATGACTATTTTAAGCCAAGACAGACATGAAATAGTTAATGAACGAATACATCTCCACGGTTGACTGTTACCTGTTTATACAGTATTACCTTGTGTGTTTTTTTTACAATGACCTACAACTTTTGCAGCCTGTGATAATACGTTAATCCACTCACCCAATAATTTTATTTTACTTCTATGTCCAACACTTTTAGTTAATGATTTTGAATGTGTCTTATAATGTATTTTATGTTCAATTATTTAGCAATATTTTTTTTTGAACTATTGGAAATTAGCATTGTTAAAATAACCAAAAGTATGAATTTTTAAATATATGTTGAAATTAGTTAAAATTACATAGATATTTTTCCTAAGGACTATTCCGGAACTAAAATGACATATAAATATTACTCATGTTTTAAAAGGCACCTTTAATTAAACCTCTCGTAATTTTAATGTTGTTCATCAGATAGTACTGTTTAACCGATTTGGTTGGTTATGTTTAGCTTCTCTAATTTCAAAATAAAACGCTATCAATGATTATTAGCAATGCTCTGTTTCTTGTGTAATAAAACCAATCAACACTAGTTCATAAACACAAACTGTAGTTAGCTCTTTTTGTAACAGGCAATGATTAGAGGCTTAAAACAGGAAAGTGGTCAAAAATATAATGTTTGTTCATGCATTGTAAAGCTTTTTTTCATTAGCAGTGGGTCTTACATTTAAACTTAGAGAAATAACTGATTTTAAACTAAAGTGAAAACTAGAACAAAACATTTCACTATAGAGAATACAATTCTTAGTTTAGCATTTAGTGAAGACAAATAAATTCTTAGTTTAGCATAAAACAATTGACGACAAATACATTCTTAGTTTAGCGTAAGGCAAGTGACGACAAATTCTTAGTTTGTCATAAAACAAGTGACGACAAATTCTTAGTTTGGCATAAAACAAGTGACGCCAAATAAATTCTTAGTTTGGCATAAAACAAGTGACGACAAATACATTCTTAGTTTAGAGTAAGGCAAGTGACGACAAATTCTTAGTTTAGCATAAAGCAAGTCAGAAATAAAAACTATTCTTCAAGCTGTCAAATCTAACCAATGAGGGGCCAAACATGGCAAGTGTAGAGCGCAACATTATTGTAGGAGCGTCATTAATCACAGGCCACAGCCGATACTAATCTTCATAGACGTCACGGGCAGTACACGGGAATGGTGGCCGGCCGGGGGAAATGGACAAATAAGTTGTGTGTGTTGGTAATAGAGATAACGATGATAGAAGTATGATGTGTTGACACACTGGGGGTACGGCTGATAAGGGCTCGCACCCCCCCCCCACTCTCTAGCCCATTCAGAGACAGGTTGGTTTTACTAGTACAATTTTCAATGGGTGCGTATGAAGAGTACTTGGGTTGGTGATTAAGTGGGTGAATGCATGCATCATTTTGACACTTACTGTGGTAGTTATTTATAGCGAAGGTATACGAGTAATGGTAATTGGGACTTTTAAAAAAAGCGACGTAGAAAGGGGGGTTGAAGGGGGGTGGGTAGGACAACCCAGTAGTAAACGACTAAATGACGTATGAGCAGATAAAGGGAGTAAGTGATTTAGTAAGTGAGAGATAGAAAGAAAGCGATTAATGGAAAAAAATAAAAGACAAATAGACTGTCAGACAAGAAATACCTCTGGCATAAAGAGGCGGACAGGATTTCTACAAGTACCTAGTTCAAAAATAAAGAACAAATAATATTATCTCTCACTGACAAGCAACAGGGGGCTTGGTTTTGTATTTCATATTTCTAACATTCCAATCTATTGTTTGATAAAGGCAGATGAAAGCAGACCATTGCAAGACATACCCCGACAAAAAATTCTCTCAACAATTACCCAAAAGAACCCCTGGACACAAAAATGCCCCCTACACGACGCCAGGCAGCCGACCGACGTAACAACGGCGGTATTTGTCGAAATAGTCCCACGCATGCGCCGTCTAAAGAAAAAACAACTTAATAGATATGAAAACTTCGTCATACAGTCAAATATCAGACTGACAGCTACGCTGGCAATACTTGTGAGGGTTTGTCATTGATAAATACGTCATCGTTCAAGTATTGTGGAGACCTGGGGGTGGACTAAATAATCTCGTAGACCAAAGGTTCTCAGGGCATATATTCAAAGAACAGGCTCTCATGGCTGAGATTCTTAGAACAGAGGTTCTCGGACTAAGAGGTACTGGGCTGTCATACATGGATTAGAGGACGCAAAAATCTCTTATGCCAAATAAATGAAGGCGTTTAAGTGTAAAATAAAAAAAATAAAAAACGGGAAAAAAATAAAAACTATAAAAAATTACACAACGGTTTTTTTTTCTAAACCGACTTAATGATTAACGACAAATCCAATCGAAGTAACTTGTTTCATTATCAATAGAAAATGAACGTTAATATATATATATGTATATGTATATGTATGTGTATATGTATGTATATATGTATGTATATATGTGTGTGTATATATATATATATATATATATATATATATATATATATATATATATATATATATATATATATATATATATATATATATATAATTATGTAAGGATGGGCCGACGAATATAACAAAGAAGGCGTCCCAGACAACGGAATAAAAACAAATTTCCCCCGAATGTAACTCCAGTTGATTTCCCTAAAAGCCGTCAGACAGATAAAAGCGAACATTTCCTCCATTAAGGCCCCATTTACTTGTGCGCCACTTGACCATGTTTCCTCTTGTCTAATAGCCGTCAGTCACGAGCTGTTCAATCAATGGGGTCAACATTTCGTGGGAAAATAGACCAGTCACACCATGGTTTCCATCCAAAGAGTCAACATTTCGTGGGGTAATAGACTAGTTAGAACATGGCTTCCATCTAAAGGGTCAACATTTTGTGGGGTAATAGACGAGTTACAACATGGCTTCCATCTAAACGGTGAACATTTTGTTGAGTAATAGACTAGTTGCAACATGGCTTCAATCTAAAGGGTCAACATTTCGTGGGGTAATAGACTAGTTACAACATGGTTTCCATCTAAAGGGCCAACATTCGTTGGTAATAGACTAGTTACAACGTGGCTTCCATCTAAAGGGTCAACAGTTCGTGGGTAATAGACTAGTTACAACATGGTTTCCGTCTAAAGGGTCAACATTCGTTGGTAATAGACTAGTTACTATATAACTTCCATCTAAAGGGTGAACATTGCAAAATGGCTTCCATCTAAAGGATTAACATTTCACAGACCATTACCACTACCGCATTTTTCTGTGGGGGTTTTGTTGGGGGGGGGGGGGGGGAGTGAAACCAAACTTAAGTTACGAGTAATATAATTTGGACAACTTTAAGACACCCTTATTAATGTTAGGCAAATACCAACATAATACGATTCTGAAGTGTACAATGGTTTAAATAAGTTTAATGTTAATGCTAACCACTGCCATATGTCGTGTCGTTGTTTTAACTGCACCCTGTAACACCGTGGATCAATACGTTTCTGTGTCGCCGTTTTCACAAGTCTTAAAACCTAAACACACGACCAAACAAAGTTATGTGACAGATACAAATTTAACTAATGAAATGACTCATTTCGTCTATGCGGTGTATTAAAAAAAAAAGAAAAAAAAATACTACCCGTTCTAAAATAAAATTGATTAATATCTTTACTACGAGACATAACATAAATATTATAAACACAGGGTCGTGTACGTTTGATCTCCATGGGGATGAAGAAAACAACATGCAGACATAAACAAACAAATCCATGGATACATTGACAACACGCGGCTATTCTACAAAAACAGCACGTCTCTACCCCTCAACATAAACCCTAACACCCAACATGCTAATCTCTGTCGTATACACAAATCTATTCGCGTTAATCCCCTAACACGATACATGCCCCACATCCGACACAACGTTCAACCCACTTTGACTTTCTCTATTCAGCTCTAACTTCTGTAACAAACTTTCCAAATCCCCTCCATTCAAAACGCGGCTACTGTTTCATAAAGTGATCAATAAAAAAAAATCTAAATTAACTATTAACAACTTAGAACGTCACTCTGTGAGGAGGTGTTATGGCAGATTGGGAGTGGGTAATAGACACAAAATGACGTCAGTGTGGGGCCCATACAGACTGAGATAGAGCAGGGTGTAAGAAATTAGCTGGGATTTTTGATAAACTGGAGTTTTTATGTCGCCATTTTAACAAACTATGTGAATTAGTGGTTGAATGGGCAGGAGTGGTCCTAAACATGGTCTATACGACTTAGATAACACACACACAAATATATATATATATATATATATATATATATATATATATATATATACTTATTTATGTATTTATATGTCGAGTGTATAGAGGACAAACGCAGTATGTAAACAAATATAATCTCGAGAAAAATTTGGTTATAAATCTAATTCTAATATTAAAATAATCAACATATTATGTTTAAACATTCATCGATTATTTGCATTCTACTTTTCTGACATTGTACATGAGTGTTCTTGTAGCTTATATTATTGACAATATAAGTAGAAATGTACATCGATTTCACAAAATAAAAGTGGACATACTGCATTTGACTTCCATTCACGCGATATGTGATGTATTAAAATGAATGTAATGACAGTATGAGGTTTATAATGTGACACCACCAAACTAGACCATCAAGGGTAGACGACTAACTAGCTAGACACGCCACCACAAATAACAAGGAAGGACTGAATGTTTATTAGTGCTGATCATGTGGTGGTGTGTGTGGGGGGGGGGGGGGGGTGGTGACAGCGGTGGACCGGATGTCTGCAATCAATCGGTCTCCACCAACAGGAGATTACTGGCTTCAAGACTTCCTCCTACAGATTTCATGAGCCCTTCATAGCTAGTTAATACACAATTTGTTTCCCCAAGCTATCGACCACTAACATACCCGGGATTTAATTTTTTTTTCTTCTCTAGTTGGAAAAAAAGAAATCTCGTATAATTCAGTTTTAAGGCAGACTGCTATGGAGGTGTACTTTACCCAGCGGGTGAGATTATTTAATTTCACCAAATAATCTAATTTACAGATGCATTTTTAATATTACGAATAATTTCCGCTATTTCTCGAAGCGTCTGTCTACACGCCATTTCTAGAAAATAGTGTACCACGCGCACGCATTGACACGCACTTTTGTGCCATACACCAAGTCTATTTGTGCTTATCACCAACAATTGCGTTATATCACTTGAGTGAGGCTAGGCTAGTCTCTGAGTGCTGAACAAATAGAGTTATGACATCTGATTAAGTCAACTCTCCACTGGCTGAATGACATGTACATTGACATCTATGTCAGGTGTGTGTTAGTGAGTGGGGGGGGGGTGAGGAGTGGGGGTGAAATCCCTTCCTGTGGATGTCAAATTGCTCTCCAAATGTGGAGATAAGTCAATCAATCTTCCTGTGTAAACCAATCAATACTCCTTAAAAACAAGGTGTAAATTTGAGATCGGGGGAAGGGGGGGAGGAGAGAGAGAGAGAGAGAGAGAGAGAGAGAGAGAGAGAGTGTGTGTGTGTGTGTGTGTGTGAGAGAGAGAGAGAGAGAGAGAGAAAGGGTGAACTCGTGTTTTCTCAGAAAGTGTGTGAAGGACTTGGTCGTGTGACGTCTGCTTCATTAGACCGGAAGTGTTAGTTGTCAAGTTGGTGTGTCGTCAAGTAGACCAGTCAATACACTGGGCTTGGCGTAGGGGCATGTTTATTTCGTTCTCCGACTGGCCTTATCGCCATACACGAGCAGTGTTTAGCTTTTTAAACTGTTCGACCCTACACTGAGGTCTGATTTTATGAAGAAAAAAAATTAACACCATACACCGAGATGTGTAACTTACCATAGAATATTTCGGCCAACATTAAGTAGACAACGCCTATTTTATCACCACAAGACAACAGTCCCCAACTATAGCTGTCGCAAGCAATTTTACATCTAAATCGGTAAATATCCCAGTAGTCGGCATTTCACAGACTACAATCACACCATTACATATAATAGATCTAGAAATTTTTATAAGCATTTTCTTTTTAAAAAAAGTTGAGAAGGGATGAATTGACAATTTGACAATAAAGTCACGGCAAGTCTGCAGCCCCCCCCCCCCCCCCTTGCAATATTCTACAATAATGAGTATCGCCTTTCTTTAGTTTATCTAACTCCTATTGTTTCTTGTGAAATATTAAAGAACCGCATTGGATAATGTTGGGTAAGTTCTCGCTACAGGCGAACACATAAGACGTTAGCGACATCAATCCTGTTTCCAGACATCTTCACCACGTAAGCCTCTTTCCTTGTCCTCAATATTGTACTCATCTTCCTACAATCTCCTTACAAAAATCTCTAAAGGCACCAATCGGTGTCCTCATCTCACCCCCACGGCCATATTTTAAGAATCACTGTCTGATAACTGTTTACAGATTACACCAGGGTATGTAAGACCCGCCAAGTTGTGCCACAACACTTAGTGAATGTAAACTTTCTAAGTATAGATTTTGTCACAAGTCAGCAGCATAAACAAAAACACGTTTTCTTCTGACTTCTAAAGTTTCAAACTGCTGGAGCTAAGAAACATTAAGGTGGCATAGCACCTGCAATAGCTAGAAGTATTTTCTACAGTTTGTTCTATAACCAATGGCTAGGTCTATGGACGATGTAAGCCACTTAACGTTAAGGTTGTCAGACCCCATTTTTTTTGTCACGAACTGTCACACTCAGCCCCACCCCAGCCTCGTCATATTTCTATGTCAGGAAAAGAGACTAAAACAACTACATTTCTAAAACTAACGCCCTACCCTGTCGCCACGACCTACCCCACCCTTAAGGCGGGGTATCAAAACAACATCCTTGTTAAGCCTACAGCCACGCAACCAAGCTACTAAAGTGGCTAACAACGTTATAACTAAACTGTTTTTTTTTAAATGTGTAAAGCACTGTCTTGTTTTAAGCCCCCTCCCCCCCCCCCCCAAATTCACACCCTTTCCAATACAATCACATTACATTTTTAACCCCCCCCCCCCCCCGCATCAAGACCCCTTCTCATATTACCACAAAATCAAGTTTTTGGACCCCACCCCCAAGCCATTCATTATCAAATTTTGACCCCCCCCCCCCTCCCCATTCTTCCCTATCAACACCCTTCTCATATTACCACAAAATTACGTTTTTATACCCCCCCCCCCCCGCCCCCAAACCACTCATTATCATGTTTTGACCCCCCTCCCCCCACGTCAAACTCCAATTAAACCCCAACCGTTCTACAATTTATGGAGGCAGTTTTCATATGCATGTTTTGTTACCCATTAAAAAGACATAAACAAAAGCAGCGAGTAAGCCATACTTGTGCGACTTAAGCTTACAACAAGAAACAGATGCCACAACAATCCCGTTGGGCTTCAAGGTCTAATGATTTAAGCCGGCCTGAATCTAGTACTCGTGTAGACTTAGAAAGGTTCCCCACAAGTGAAGGTGATAGGCAAATCTCCTGTCAATACTGGTTTACCGTGGGACTACGGCAGCGAGATTTGGACGAGATTTGGACGAGGGCGGGAGGAATCAAGACGAGGTTCTGTTATGGTAGTAGATCCAGAGTTGAGCCCAATCGTTGTAGACACTAATCTTTGATTTGGGAGACGTACAGCTAAAGGTGTGTGTGTGTAGAGGTGTGTGTGGGGGGGGGGGGGGGTTTGGGTTACTTCCTACAATAAATGGAGTGGGGAGTGGGACAGGGACTGCACATTTTGTTTCTTATGATATAAGAAAGAAGGGGAGGTTACTTAGGTATTATAATACGACGATTTGTACACCAGTCTAGGTTTAAAAGATTTGTTGACAGAGTAAAACCCAGTGTTTTGTTAAGTATGAACTCACAGTGTCATGTGACAATGAGAAGTATTGTACAGGTACAGAAGATGAGTGCAAGGAATCTAGGACCTCACCCCACCCCCCGACCCCCATCACCCCCAGGTTATCCCCACCCATAGAATATATATTGTACAAATCCCTATCAATTTCTATATCCACATCCAACTCCCTATCGCTAACTTTATTCCAAACACTAACCTTAACTCTATTCCTATTTTTATCTCTAACCTTATCACTAAATTACCCATAACCTATCCCTAAATTGACAGGGGATAACTGACAAGACAGGGTCATGCCCAAATGCAAATATATATTATACAAGAAAGGAGGAAGTGACCAGAGAATGACCCAGGTAGAGGAGGGGGGAGGGGGCTGGCAATGCCTTGTCTCTCATCAAAGATCAGTTACAATACATATATTGTGTGTGTAAATATGTACAGGTAAACACAAGGTGTATGGTGTCATGTATAGGTACACAAACACACGTTCAGGTGAGGCAGGAGAGCTGATATAGATGCACACCTAGGCTGATGTACTCACCCCTGAGGCCTGGTCCGTCAGTGTCTGGGTCACCACAATGTTGAAGACTGCATGTGACCTTGAACTCTCGCTGTTCATGTTGGTGGCAGCCACGGTCCTAGACTTGTTGCCCTCGCTCATCAGATTGTCAATGTCCTGCAATCAACATCATTAGGTCATAGGTCATAAGGTCATTAGGTCCTAACAATAAGATTGCCAATGTCCTGAAATCAACATCATTAGGTCATAGGTCATTAGGTCCTAACAATAAGATTGTCAATGTCCTGCAATCAACATCATTAGGTCATAGGTCATTAGGTCCTAACAATAAGGTTGTCAATGTCCTGCAATCAACATCATTAGGTCATTGGTCATTAAGTCATAGGTCATTAGGTCCTAACAATAAGATTGTCAATGTCCTGCAATCAACATCATTAGGTCATAGGTCATTAGGTCCTAACAATAAGATTGTCAATGTCCCGCAATCAACATCATTAGGCCATAGGTCATTAAGTCAAAGGTCATTAGGTCCTAACAATAAGATTGTCAATGTCCTGCAATCAACATCATTAATTCATAGGTCATTAGGTCTTAACAATAAGGTTGTCAATGTCCTGCAATCAACATCATTAGGTCTTAGGTCATTAGGTCCTAACATGGAGGTTGTCAATGTCATAAAATCAACACCATTAGGTCATACAATTAGGTCATTGTGTCCTGATAAAATCAGATTGTCAATGTCCTAAATACATCATCTGGTCCTATGGTTGATATCACACAAGTGATTCCATGTCTTCAATACAACATCATCAGGCCCTAGCATTAATTTACACTAATACAATCAGATTATATTCTACATGTCACAACTATTGATTTATTTCAATGTAAGCATTTAAAAAATATTTCTAGTTAAAAATAATTAAAAAACATCATGTGCAATTATTTAAAATTATGAAACATTATTGATTTATTAAACAAATGTCTAAGCAGATTTTTTAAGAACATAAAAAATATATTCCTTCAAAAATTAATATCAAATTAAATATCCTAAGGGAAATTTGCTGCAAATAAACACATTTCTTCACAAATCAATACATTAACAAGATGATATACATAGTTTACAAAAAAACCTCAGCATAGCCACAAAAAAATAGTTACATTTAAAGAAAAAAAAAACATGAAATATTTATTATGTGATAAAATTGGATGGGACATGTCTAGCCAAGGGAAGTAATCAGTAAAAAGGAATTTAGCAGCAAATAAAACTAATTTTTTTTTAAAAACATTTACTTTAAACAAATTCAGAGTAATAATTTAATAATTGTTTACCAGATGCAATAGCCTATAAAAATGTTGAAAGAATTGTCTATAGAAAATTAAAATTATAGGGATTTGATAAAAACGGGTCATGTCTTCACCTCTAAGTGAGTTTACTGTTTACAACTTACCTCAAATGATGAGACCACACACATTGAAAGACCATCGACGTAAGGACCAAGTATATTGTGCTCTCTCACTTTCAAATTCTGCTTCGATCTGCAAACAAAAGGTTTTAATTATATTCACTTTTTAAAACAAATAACGATAACTCAAACAAACAAAAAATCTCAAATAATTTAAAGAGTTAGCTCCCTTAGCAGACATTGCATTTGGATTTTTTACCCCAGATTTTTTCTTTTAAATTTTTGTATTTTATTTTCCATAGTAAATGCGAAATTGTGCGGAGGATTTTACCCTTTGGGGTCGAGCAGGTCGTGAACTTTCTCGTTGTAGATTTCCATGTAGGACACCTCGATCTTACACGAGTGGCTGGGGGTGGTGATGCTGGCGATGGTGTCAAACAGGGCGTCACACAGCCGGGGGATGATGCCCTTCTGCTCGGGGGTGCCCATCATGGTGTAAGACTTGCCTGAACCTGTGGGGGTATACAGTGATGTCAGGTGCATTGTAATAAAGGTAATGTCGGGGGCACTGTACATAAACAGTGATGTCAAGGGCATTGTACAAAAAGTCATGTCGAAGGCAGTTTACAAACAGTGATATTAGGGGCAGTGTACAAAAAGTGATGTTGGGGGCATTATAGATTATACATCACTGATGTCGAGGATGTAGTACAGAAAATTTTGTCAGGGCATTGTAAAAATTGATTTTACAGCAGGGTATACACAGCAATGCCAGGGGCATTTGGTTCACAATGATGTAAAGGGCATATACTAGTTATAAATAGATGTACGTCATAATAATGCTACCTTCCAGTTCACCTAGAATCAAGTAGGGCGGTCTTGTCAGAGTAAAGAGTGTTTGTTAGACCAAATTTTGAAGTCAGTTGTTTTTACAGTAAGGATTAGCGTTGTTTACCTTAAAATTCACATAATAGATAACAATTTACTTTGTAAAAGATGTACTTGAAACAAGACCTAGGAAAACTATGTGAATTACCTGTCTGACCGTAAGCAAATATACAGCCATTGTAGCCTTCAAACGCTCTCTCCAAGATGCCGCGACCCAGGGCGTTAAACACATGTTCCTGAGCTGAAACACAAGAGGTCAAAGGTTAATGGCACGTCTTATATGGGGTTTTGTGACACTTTTATACAGTCTGTGTTGGGAGATCAAACATGGCATTAATAGTTCAAATGGGACAAACGTAAAAACATCTAGTTAGGGACTGTTATATAATTTTTTTTTAAAATTGGCGAATGTGCGTACTTATATATTAGTGTGTGTACATGTAGGGATGATTTCTCTGTTAGCTGTTAGAGATGGGTGTTTTTATGTTGTTGTATTTTTTTGGATGGTGTTGTGCTTATCTCGTGGGTAAGGTTGTAGTTGATGTTCGTAGGGTTAAGTTGTATGTATATATCTTTATATATATATATATATATATATATATATATATATATATATATATATATATATGTGTATATATATATATATATATATATATATAAGTAGAGAGAGAGAGAGAGAGAATGTATGTAGACATAAAACAAAACTAACTCTGAATGAGCAGGCCGACATGTACACACTTGCCAACCCACCGAGGCACCGACGCGGACGATAACGCAATTCATTTCTCCATTTTCTACGCGCCCCCGTCCCCTCCACACCGCGGCATGTCGTCCCAGCGTACCCCAATTATTTGTAAACACAATAGAGCATGTCTCGGGAATGGCCGTAACCTAATTATCCCAGAAAATCATTAACCCCATAATGACGGCGTGTGTCCATCGGGTTCTACCAGAAAGAAAACTGAGTGTCTTAATGCCCGACTATGCAAATACATTAAAGGCCCGCCTTGCCCTCCCAGAATCTGTATTAGGAAGAAATATTTTCTTTAAAAGGCCGCAATTAAATGACACCATATTACCCCCACCACCAACACTATCCTGCCAGAGCAAATACAAGGGAAAAGTCCCACGGTGTTAATGAAGTTTTAAGAGCTTCACCCAATGTTTCGTTTCAAGCAACATTATCATCCACTTTATGATAAAACATCACCATCGCGCCTATGATAAAACATGTGCATCCTCTACAATAAAGCACCTCCATCGTCTATTAAAGCACCTCTATTCTCTTTAAAATAAAGCATCCCCTGCCTCTCTATAATCATTATCGTATTTTCCCGTTCGTGCCCAAGACACACGGGGTAGATGAAGTAGAGTTCTTCTGTTTCAGGGACCTCGGCATAGTGTGGTCAGCTGTATGCCCAGCCGCCTTAACTTTCCGTAACGTGAGTCAGGTACCGTTAGGCCATGACCTCACTCTATATTTAAGCACCTTTATCCTGTATATAATCAAACGTCTTTATTGTTCTTATAATAAAGAACACCCACCCCTTTTGGTAAAAGCACCTCCTTCCTCCCTATTATAAAGTACCTATCCTCCGTGTAATTAATGCATTACATTTTATACTACTGCCTCCTCCTATAAAATAACACCTACACCCTCCGACATCGATACCACAATACTACCAACTCGGCAACAGCTTCACTCTGCAAACTGCAACCACAACTTTACCCAAACAAACATCAACAACAACTTTACCCAAGAGATAACCACAACACCCTCAACAAACCACACAGAAAAACAACAACATAAAAACACCCATCTCTAACGGCCAACAAAGAAATCATCTCCACATCCAGGCTTTAGCTGGCTAAAAACGGAATAAATATAAATAGACGGGGCTAGACAAATGTATCCCAGACTCCATCAACGTAAACACGTTTTTGTGTGTTTAACCTCGTTAAAGACACAATGATGTAACAAAGTCTTTGATTTCACATGGCTGGGGTATAAATAACAATAGGGTAAACTGGGTGGTATCGTACAACCATATAGGGGGTTTATAAGCAATGGGGTAAAATGGGTGGTATCGTAGATCATATAGGGGGTTTATAAGTAATGGGGTAAACTGGGTGGTATCGTACAACCACATAAGGGGTGGTATCGTACAACCATATAGGGGCTTACAACTAATGGGGGTGGTATCGTACAAACATATAGAGGGTTACAAGCAATGGGGTAAAATGGGTGGTATCGTACAACCATATAGAGGGTTTCCATGCAATGGGGAGAGTTTATGACATCATGGATTAGGTAAAAAAAACGTTTAGTCGGAACAGCAAAAGATTACGAAATAGAGTACACAATGGAAACGATTTGTTATAAAAGATTATGGACGAATGAAGAACATTTAACGCTATAGGAGCTTGTTATGTTGTCGTGTAATGATTTAGAAAACAAAAAGCCACTAAACAAAAGCAAATATGAAGAATTAATGTTCTAAGATTATCTTGCAGACCTGGTCCTTACTAGAGGTTCCATGGCATCATTGTGTTAGGATTAAGGTTAAAGTGTTTGTCTTAGTACGCTTAGTTTTAGGTTCATCCTAGCTACATATCATTGTTAGCAGCATACACATAATACACTAGATACCAAACCTCACAAAACTAATTTCACACACACACATACACACACACATCTGCAGCGGAACTGCTCCAACCCCACACAGCTAGTCACGACACTGCCCCCATCCCACCTCCCCCACACCTACCTCGGGCACCTAACTGACCCCTCCATAAGAGTATTAAAACAGCGGTTATCATTCTTAAAGCTACATCACTCAACGGAATAAATTGGCCATTCTTTATTCTCCTCAAGACTTTATTAAGCTAAATTAAACGAGCTAAGGATATTTTTTTATCATTTAAAGCATTTTTTTTTATAATTTAGAAAAAAAAATTAATTAACAGTTTACAATTATTTTTTTATATTTCAGCTGGCTTAAGATTAGAAAAATGAAATTTCTTATGTTGTTTTCATCACATTTTTTTTATGTTCAGCCAGTGATGAATGACCGGTGTATGTAAAGATGATGTGGGTGGGGGCTGGGGGGGGTTGGTGGTAAAAGGTGAGCGGATGCTGGTGGGGGGTTGTTAATGGGGGCTGGATGTGGATGAGTGGTAAATGGTGGGTTGAAAACTGGGTGGTAAATGGGGGCTGGATGCTGGGGGGTGGTACATTATACGACGAGTAATAAATGGGGAGTGGGTAGTAGAGGGATGGTGAGTCTATATTGTTCGGTTGTAAATGATGGGTGGGTGGGTAAATTGTGGGTAGGTAGTATATTGTAGGTGGTATATTGTGGGTGTTAAATGGTGTCCTAAATGCAGGTGAGTGGTAAAGAACGGTTCATGTAGACGACATCCATACCATCATTTAACCTTGCAGCACCACACACCTCACACAGTTCTCTCACACATCACCTCACACCCCCACAGTTCTCTCACACCCACAGGTCTCTCACACATCACCTCACACCCTCACAGTTCTCCCACACATCACCTCACACCCACACAGTTCTCTCACACGTCACCTCACACACACACAGTTCTCCCACACAACACCTCACACCCACACACGTCTGCCGCTGTCCTAATGAACATATAAACCAATCAAGTCTTATTGAACACGTCAATCAAGTAATCAGCGGTATGTATACCATTGCATCAACTGATCCTTTTCAATACTGAATGTGCATCGATCCAACGTCCAAACTAGAAGGTTAATAAGTATTTTTTTTTTAATATCCGCGCTTCCAGATTAGAAGTTCATTAAACTTACTAAAACAGTCTCAACTCATTAAGCCTGGCCAGTTTAGAACTTCATTAAACCGTGCTAAAAGTTCCAACTCATTCTACTTGGCTAGATTACAGCTTCATTTAACTTACTAATACAGCCTTAACTCCTTCAGACTTCAATAATCTCATCATTCGTGTTAGCCGACATGTTTAAGTAGCCAGATACGATGCTCCAACTTCTTCTCTTACAACTGAAGAAGTTTACAGAAGGTAATAGAGAATCAACAGGAGAGGAATTCAAACGCAAATTAACTGATGCATTAAAGGCAGGATTTAGATTTAGATTTAACAAGAATAAAAACAAATGCCAATTGTATTCATACAACTCATTGCAAATCTTCAGCTGATTTTTATGTTAAGTAAATACATTGTGTAGAATTTTGATAAATTGAAAGAAAATTGAATAGCGAAACTTATCAAGGCGAGCGCCATTAAAAAACGCGAGACATCCATCAATAAAGCATTCATCATTTCAAAGACAAACATGAAGAGAAACTCCGGCACATTTCACGGGCCAGCGACTCTAGAATCTGAATGCAATCAACAAACCCTTTTGTGTGTGTCGCTATTAGGAGCCAGCCAAGCGTGGATACTCGGCTATCAGTGGCTCTTCATCTTGGACGGATGAAATGGGAGAGAAAATGGGAGCCGGGATACACGCGAGATGATGACGTGATGCACGCGAGGTAATGACGTGATACATGCCAGATGATGACGTGATGCACGTGACATTATGACGTTATACACGCGAGATGATGACGTGATGCACGCGAGGTAATGACGTGATACACGCGAGGTAATAACGTGATACACGCAATATGATGACGTGATACACGCAAGATGATGACGTGATACACGCGAGATGATGACGTGATACACGCAAGATGATGACGTGATACACGCGAGATGATGACGTGATGCACGCGAGGTAATGACGTGATGCATGCCAGATGATGACGTGATACACGCAAGATGATGACGTGATACATGCGAGGTAATAACGTGATACACGCAATATGATGACGTGATACACGCAAGATGATAACGTGATACACGCGAGATGATGACGTGATACACGCAAGATGATGACGTGATACACGCGAGATGATGACGTGATACACGCAAGATGATGACGTGATAGACGCAAGATGATGACGTGATAGACACGAGATGATGACGTGATGCACTCGATGCGGTGACGTGGTACACTCGACTCAGATAAACACCAAAAGTGTAAGTTGTAATAGATATATCGAGAGTGGAACTGATCACAGTATGTAGGTTGGCCATCATACCGCTGTTTAAGGTGATGTGTGAACGTGACAACACAATTACAAATTTTTCCACAAAACTTCTTTTTAAAATAGGGGCACAGAACCTTGTATA